GTAGTAGCCCTGGTCTATGTTGACGTAAAGTAGTAGCCCTGGTCTATGTTGACATAAAGTAGTAGCCCTGGTGTATGTTGACGTAAAGTAGTGACCCTGGTCTGTGTTGACATAAAGTAGTAGCCCTGTTCTATGTTGACATAAAGTAGTAAACCTGGTGTATGTTGACGTGAAGTAGTAACCCTGGTCTGTGTTGACGTAAAGTAGTAACCCTGGTGTATGTTGACGTAAAGTAGTAGCCCTGGTCTATGCTGACATAAAGTAGTAAACCTGTTCTATGTTGACGTGAAGTAGTATCCCTGGTCTATGTTGACATTATTGGTCTATGTTGACATAAAGTAGTAGCCCTGGTCTATGTTGACGTAAAGTAGTAACCCTGATCTGTGTTGACATAAAGTAGTATCCCTGGTCTATGTTGACATAAAGTAGTAGCCCTGGTCTATGTTGACATAAAGTAGTAACCCTGGTCTATGTTGACATAAAGTATTATCCCTGGTCAGTGTTGACATAAAGTAGTAACCCTGGTCTGTCTTGACATAAAGTAGTAGCCCTGGTCTGTGTTGACATAAAGTAGTATCCCTGGTCTATGTTGACATAAAGTAGTAGCCCTGATCTGTGTTGACATAAAGTAGTAACCCTGGTGTATGTTGACATAAAGTAGTAACCCTGGTCTGTGTTGACATAAAGTAGTAGCCCTGGTCTGTGTTGACATAAAGTAGTAACCCTGGTGTATGTTGACGTAAAGTAGTAGCCCTGTTCTATGTTGACGTAAAGTAGTAACCCTGGTCTATGTTGACGTAAAGTTGTGGCCCTGGTCTATGTTGACATAAAGTATTATCCCTGGTCTATTTTGACGTAATGTAGTAACCATGGTCTATGTTGACGGAAAGTTGTGACCCTGGTCTGTGTTGACGTAAAGTAGTAGCCCTGGTCTATACTGACATAAAGTAGTAACCCTGGTCTATGCTGACATAAAGTAGTAACCCTGGTCTATGCTGACGTAAAGTAGTAACCCTGGTCTATGTTGACGTAAAATAGTAACCCTGGTCTGTGTTGACATAAAGTAGTGACCCTGGTCTGTGCTGACATAAAGTAGTAACCCTGGTTTATGTTGACGTAAAGTAGTAGCCCTGGTCTGTGTTGACATAAAGTAGTAACCCTGGTCTGTGTTGACATAAAGTAGTAGCCCTGGTCTGTGTTGACATAAAGCAGTAACCCTGGTGTATGTTGACGTAAAGTAGTAACCCTGGTGTATGTTGACGTAAAGTAGTAACCCTGGTCTATGTTGACGTAAAGTAGTAACCCTGGTCTATGTTGACATAAAGTAGTAGCCCTGGTCTGTGTTGACGTAAAGTAGTAACCCTGGTCTATGTTGACATAAAGTAGTAACCTTGGTCTGTGCTGACATAAAGTAGTAACCCTGGTCTGTGTTGACATAAAGTAGTAACCCTGGTCTATGTTGACGTAAAGTAGTAACCCTGGTGTATGTTGACATAAAGTAGTAGCCCTGGTCTATGTTGACATAAAGTAGTAGCCCTGGTCTATGTTGACATAAAGTAGTAGCCCTGGTCTATTTTGACGTAATGTAGTAACCATGGTCTATGTTGACATAAAATAGTATCCCTGGTCTATGTTGTCATAAAGAGCCCTGGTCTATGCTGACATAAAGTAGTAACCCTGGTCTATGTTGACGTAAAGTAGTAGCCCTGGTCTATGTTGACATAAAGTAGTAGCCCTGGTCTATGTTGACATAAAGTAGTAGCCCTGGTTTATGTTGACATAAAGTAGTAGCCCTGGTGTATGTTGACATAAAAGAGTAACCCTGGTCTATGTTGACATAAAGTAGTAACCCTGGTCTGGGATGACGTAAAGTAGTAGCCCTGGTCTGTGTTGACACAAAGTAGTGGCCCAGGTCTATGTTGACATGAAGTAGTAACTCTGGTCTGTGTTGACATAAAGTAGTAGCCCTGGTCTGTGTTGACATAAAGTAGTAGCCCTGGTGTATGTTGACATAAAGTAGAAGCCCTGGTGTATGTTGAAATAAAGTAGTAACCCTGGTCTATGTTGACATGAAGTAGTAACTCTGGTCTGTGTTGACATAAAGTAGTAGCCCTGGTTTATGTTGACATAAAGTAGTAGCCCTGGTGTATGTTGACTTAAAATAGTAACCCTGGTCTATGTTGACATAAAGTAGTAGCCCTGGTGTATGTTGACATAAAATAGTAACCCTGGTCTATGTTGACATAAAGTAGTAACCCTGGTCTGTGTTGACATAAAGTAGTAACCCTGGTCTGGGTTGACGTAAAGTAGTAGCCCTGGTCTGTGTTGGCATAAAGTAGTAACCCAGGTGTATGTTGACGTAAAGTAGTAGCCCTGGTCTATGTTGACATAAAGTAGTAGCCCTGGTCTATGTTGACATAAAGTATTATCCCTGGTCTATTTTGACGTAATGTAGTAACCATGGTCTATGTTGACGGAAAGTTGTGACCCTGGTCTCTGTTGACGTAAAGTAGTAGCCCTGGTCTATACTGACATAAAGTAGTAACCCTGGTCTATGCTGACATAAAGTAGTAACCCTGGTCTATGTTGACGTAAAGTAGTAACCCTGGTCTATGTTGACGTAAAATAGTAACCCTGGTCTGTGTTGACGTAAAGTAGTGACCCTGGTCTGTGCTGACATAAAGTAGTAACCCTGGTTTATGTTGACGTAAAGTAGTAGCCCTGGTCTATGTTGACATAAAGTAGTAACCCTGGTCTGTGTTGACATAAAGTAGTAGCCCTGGTGTGTGTTGACATGAAGTAGTAGCCCTGGTGTATGTTGACGTAAAGTAGTAACCCTGGTGTATGTTGACGTAAAGTAGTAACCCTGGTCTATGTTGACATAAAGTAGTAACCCTGGTCTATGTTGACGTAAAGAAGTAGCCCTGGTCTGTGTTGACGTAAAGTAGTAACCCTGGTCTGTGTTGACATAAAGTAGTAACCCTGGTCTGTGCTGACATAAAGTAGTAACCCTGGTCTGTGTTGACATAAAGTAGTAACCCTGGTCTGTGTTGGCATAAAGTAGTAACCCTGGTGTATGTTGACGTAAAGTAGTAGCCCTGGTCTATGTTGACATAAAGTAGTAACCCTGGTCTATGTTGACGTAAAGTAGTAGCCCTGGTCTATGTTGACGTAAAGTAGGAGCCCTGGTCTATGCTGACATAAAGTAGTAGCCCTGGTGGATGTTGACGGAAAGTAGTGACCCTGGTCTGTGTTGACGTAAAGTAGTAGCCCTGTTCTATGTTGAAATAAAGTAGTAAACCTGGTGTATGTTGACGTGAAGTAGTAACCCTGGTCTGTGTTGACGTAAAGTAGTAACCCTGGTGTATGTTGACGTAAAGTAGTGACCCTGGTCTATGCTGACATAAAGTAGTAAACCTGTTCTATGTTGACGTGAAGTAGTATCCCTGGTCTATGTTGACATTATTGGTCTATGTTGACATAAAGTAGTAGCCCTGGTCTATGTTGACGTAAAGTAGTAACCCTGATCTGTGTTGACATAAAGTATTATCCCTGGTCTATGTTGACATAAAGTAGTAGCCCTGGTCTATGTTGACATAAAGTAGTAACCCTGGTCTATGTTGACACAAAGTATTATCCCTGGTCAGTGTTGACATAAAGTAGTAACCCTGGTCTGTCTTGACATAAAGTAGTAGCCCTGGTCTGTGTTGACATAAAGTAGTATCCCTGGTCTATGTTAACGTAAAGTAGTAGCCCTGATCTGTGTTGACATAAAGTAGTAACCCTGGTGTATGTTGACATAAAGTAGTAACCCTGGTCTGTGTTGACATAAAGTAGTAGCCCTGGTCTGTGTTGACATGAAGTAGTAACCCTGGTGTATGTTGACGTAAAGTAGTAGCCCTGTTCTATGTTGACGTAAAGTAGTAACCCTGGTCTATGTTGACGTAAAGTAGTGGCCCTGGTCTATGTTGACGTAAAGTTGTTGCCCAGGTCTCTGAGCACGTCAGTACGTAACCTTGTCATCTGTTGATCGTCATCTTGAATCCTGTTACATGGGTGGCTTCTGGTCGGCTTCTCATGAACATGCTGGATGCCAACACGACGACCCATGGGGTCCAGCAGCTGGTGTAGACGTGTATGAAGCCACACCATAAGTTGGTTTAGAATAGACAAGTTTCATAAACAGAGGATGAGGAGTGCGTGAGTGAGTGACTTTAGGTTTACGCTGCTTTTAGTAGTATTCCAGCAATATCACAGCTGGGGACAACGTTAGGTGAGCACAACGAACTACTTTAAATGTTCTATAATTAACGAAGTCTTCATAAAAAACATGCCATGTTTATTGATAACGGATAACACCTTTTCTAGAGTATGGAACGAGGTTTCAGGTACAACACAGACTATAGGTACAAACCCCAACAAGTTCGTCAACATGGCGACTATTTAGAACAGCTGTCGGTACAGCTAGCAGGATTTGCATTATTCATTCGGACAAGGGATCCATTAACTCGAGTGCACTGCATTACAGCATCTGTACACCCACATGATATTGACACAGACCTTTCTGTGTAGCACACGCACATTCTAATGTTCAGCTTGTATGAACAACAAGGAGTTTAAACGAAAATCAATATCCACTATATACTACTATATCAAATGACGTAGGTCTAGATAAGCTAAAGATCTTTTAATAGATTTCGTACAAAATGCTTCAAAAGTCTAAGTGATTCATTGACAGGGATTCTACCGGAATATGTTTGCTGCAAGAATTCGACTTTAGGTTTTAAATATACTCGCCAAAAAGAAACGCAAAACTTGTTTTCAGATGTATCCTGCATGTATTACATAAAGACCAATACATCGTAATATGTTGTTCAAACGTGACACAAGCCATTGTGACTGACCGAGGTTTAACTCCGTGATACGTGAAGAAATCAAAACAAAACATCAAAGACAATCACTGGATTTATTACACATTGTTTCACTCACTATTTTACTTACAAAAGTAGTCTTTAATGGTGGGCTGCTGCAAAGGTTGTTTTAAAGAATTGAGCATGTCCATTGCTTTATCTGCATTTTCGATGTCACCCTGGCACTCGTAGTACGTAATGATGTTACCGAGGTACAGTCTCATGTCTGTTAAAGACGGAAGGGTGACAGTGTCTTCTGCTTCTTCTTCTTCACTTTCAATCTGATCATCTGCAGCTGTCACTGTACTTAAAAAGAGAAAGAAAAATTGTATTGTGGTTTTATTGATTTTCAGAAAGCATTTGACAATCTTTGGCGCATTGGTTTATGGAAAAAGTACACAAGGTATTGATGGCTAGTTTATTCGAATTATTGTTAACATGTACGATGGTATTCATTTATGTGTGTGTTCAAATGGTACTTACTCAGAACAGTTTCTCTGTATTATTGGAGTCCGCCAAGGGGGAAATCTCTCCCCAATGCTATTCTCTCTATTTTTGAACGATTTGGAAACGTTTTTACTTCTCAAAACTACTTTTTGAAGCACGCCATTATAATGCTATACGGAGAACTTGGAAGGGTATCCCAATTAACTCTATCAAATGTCGTATGGCCACACTTCTATCTGGTAGAGAACAAAAGCTGCCAAATGTTATACAATGAAGCCTGTAGAAACAACAGTAATCAAAAATGGATACAATCTGTGGAAGCCTTGGAGATGTCGAATTCTTCTAAGTCTACCATGTATCGTGTATTCAAATCCGAACTTGTCCTTGAAAAATATCTGATATATATCCCTTTCTCCTTGGCTCTTAAATTTCTCTTGTTTAGAACTTCCTGCCATCGTTTACCTATAGAAGTAGGTAGGTGGCACAAAATCCCACCCGAAGAAAGAATGTGTTGGCGATGAATTTCTTTACATTTTTCTCTGCCATTTCTTCAAACATCATCGGAAAACTTATATCCCAAACCCTTATGTTAAAAAACTCAATGTTTTAAGATTTAACGAATTATTTAACTGTAAACGAATTAGTGTTTTAAAACAGCTGTATATATTTTATAGTACTATCATGAAAACTGTACAATCTTCCTTGTAAACCATCCTACCATCCCATGTATTCTCAACTGTATATTTGTACCTCTTATGCCGATTATCCCGGCCGGAGCGTAATAAAAGTTCTGTTCTGTTCTGTTCTGAATGATGGAATTGGTCTTGCAGAAATATTATTGAGTATTGAAGCAAATAGGATGTGTATATTGAGTATTGAAGCTGGTGGGATGTGTCTATTGACTATTGAAACTAATGGGTTGTGTCTGTTGACTATTGAAGTATACTCGGTTGATGGTGGGATTTGGGCGTTTGATGTGAATGGCTTTAGTGAGCTTGCGTTCAGTGAAGTCTGTTTGATTGTTAGCAAGAACGGTGGTGTCAGATGTCATATTTGATGATTGGGGCTTGCTTTGATTTGGTCAGAGATGGCTGATCTGCTGTTGGAATTGGTAACAGAGGTCTGATGTTCTTTCACTCGGGTGTTGATGGGTCGTGACGTTTCGCCTATGTAGCTCTGTCCACAATCACAGTTTATTTTGAACATGACACATTTAGGGTTGTTGTTGTTGACGGTGGCTGGTTTCCGTCCGTTAGCTGGAGGACGCGGAGAAGGCGGTGTCTATGCCCGCTTGTTGTTTTAGGAGTCGGCTGATTTGATGGGATGGTTTACCAATCGATCGACCGAACAATCAATCAATCAATCAATCTTTACTCAAAAAACACCTACGGTGGTACAAGAGCAAAACACAAAACATATATATACACATAATACATGCGTCTAAGTAACTATTTATTAACAGGATTTTTAAAATGTTTATGAATTTAGACAGGCATTTCAGTTCTTTTGTGCATTTAGGTGTAAAGTTTACAAAGGTATTACAATAATAGGTAGATATATGCATCAACTATTTCAACATTATTATCTCCATAGTTAAAGAACAATTCAGTTATATTCGCTGGACCTCCACCAAATATGACAACTTTAGTCTTAGTAAGACTGACTTGTAATTTCCATAGTTTACAGTAGGTTTCAACCGTATCACGTGATTTCTGTAAATCACGAGGTGTCTCGGCGAACAAAACAGTATCATCAGCATAAGGAGTAGAAGTAATTTAATCCACACCAGTACTTCTTGAACACGTGTGGAGTCAACACTGATACCATTGCACCTATTTTCTAATAGATAATTTCGAGGTCATTCAGGTAAATTGAAAACAGAAGGGGTGATAAATTAACACACACACACACACACACACACACACACACACACACCTCCCTTTTCTCATATCTTTATTGCAACAGATGATATCGGATTTTTTGTTGCTAAATTCAACAACTGATTTTATGTTACTGTACTTGTTATAACAAATTCATAAAATCTTCTAAGGATGCCAGGTTTCAGTAATTTTGTCCACAAACGAGATCTCCAGACTGTGTCAAGGCTTTTGTGAAATCTACAAAAGCGCATTAGTTAGCATTTGAAGAACAAAAATATTATCTGAAGTTGCTAATTGCTTTTTGAAACCGGGTTGAGCTTGGGTCAAGGTTTTATTGTTTTCAAAACGTTGTTAGTCTTGCATTTAGGATCGATGTGTGTAAATAATCTACCAATACGACGTAATATTGTTATTGGCCTATAGGAGTTTGGATCAAGCTTATCGGCTTTATTCTTAAAACTATATTTCACAATTTCGATCAGCCAAGTATCTGGCATATTACCGAAATGAGACTATAAGGTTAAACAACTCTGTATATAATGGAGCTAAAAGATCAGCACTGTCAATAATACTGAGTCAAAAAAGAAACTTCACAAAATGTAATTTGAAAAATAATGAATACTTTTTCTCTGATGATACATCTATGTATCCGAAATGGGATCCCTATCTTTCGACTCTAGACAAACGTTAGCAAAACCCATTCAAACCCATCCATTCGTCGTGCAAATGACGTTAGTGCCAAATCAGGTTTTGCACGTGCAGTCGATCACGTGATCTTCGCATCGAAGTTTTCTTCATATGCACGTGTTTGCATTGGCCTCAAGAATTGAAAAAACACTTTTAAACCACAGTTCTAACGGTACTTGAAATACCACGATTGTCAAATGTGCAACGTGAACGTGCCGTTGGCATGTTGCAAGCGGGAAGATCAGTTATTGACGTCGCAAGAGCAATGGGATGCAGCCGTCGTACTGTGTATGACTTGCGAGGTCGTCTACAACAAACTGGCACCACTTCTGATCGCCCAAGGTCGGGTCGTCCACGTGTGACGTCACGAGCAGAAGACCGTCAAATCTTCCTACGTCACCTACGTGACATATTTCTGCCAGCTACACGAACCAGGGCTGAGATGTTTAGAGGTCGACTGTCCTCACAGACCATTCGAAATCGGTTGCGGGCTGCCAATCGCCATTCTCGACGTCCATATCGTGGGCCAATATTCACGCCGTTTCATCAACGTCGACGTCTGCTGTGGGCCCAACGTCACCTCCGATGGACCCAGAGAGACTGGAATCGAGTCGTCTTTAGCGATGAATCCAGGTTTACCCTCAGATTCTCGGACGGCAGGCATAGAGTCTGGAGACGACGTCGTGAACGGTATGCCCAATGTTGTGTACAGGAAGTCGACAGATTCGGGGGCGGAAGTTGCATGGTGTGGGGTGCTTTCTGTGGGAACAACCGTTCCCGACTTCTGGTCATCCGTGGAAACCTCACAGCTGCTGCTTACCGCGACCAGGTGCTCACCCCTGAACTCGTTCCTTTCATGGCGGCTCATGGCCCAGGTCTACAGTTCCAGCATGATAATGCTCGGCCGCATACCGCGATGTTGACACGCAATTTCCTTCAAAACGCTGGAATCAACGTCATGGACTAGCCATCGAGGTCCCCTGACCTTAATCCAATAGAGCACGTTTGGGATGCACTTGGGAGAAGGCTTCGTGGTCTTAGGAACCAACCTCAGAATTTGCAGGAACTTGGCGCTGCCTTGCAAGAGCAATGGCGCAGAATCCCCAACCACGTGTTCACAAGCATCAGGCAGTCGATGAGGAGACGGTGTTTGGTGAATGCGCGGGGCGTCCATACACAATATTGAACTGAGAAATTTCGCATTTATATTCTTGTGACTTCACATTCTGTATACCCATGTTTTGGAACGGCGGTGTAGCCTAATGGAACTGATTATGGCACTGTCAGTGTATCGAGTACATCACACATATCTCAGCAATGCAATAATAACAATTTAACCATCTTACCATCTCTTGTTCTTTTATAGTGCCCTGAAGAAAGAATGTATATATAACGGTTTACAGAGGTAGATTTCCATTGTTTATATTCCTCCATTAAAGCCATATATAAGGTATTTGGTAACATTGCTGCATTTGCCATCATAGGTTTTCGAAAAAAATGTTACATGATGAAATTGTATGACGAAAATGGGTAAAGAATCGGGGTGACTGATATTAGAGAGTTGTTTTACAAAGCAGGTTATGGTTATGTAATATGAATACTGTAGAGGGTGAGTTACATTTCCTTCTAGTCCTGTCCTGTTTTTTCGTCCTGTTTATTCGTCTCTACGAATGAAATGTCTAAAGCCATCTTATTATAAGCATCCAAGTGTAAGAAAATTTATTTCATTGTTAAGACATTATTGCTACAGAATATGTCAATGTACATCATGTATTTAAAATATTTATGCAACAAAAGGTGAATTCCGTCTACTTGTCAGTAACAAAAGGTGAATTCCGTTTTCTTGTCAGTAACAAAAGGTGAATTCCGTCTACTTGTCAGTAACAAAAGGTGAATTCCGTCTACCTGTCAGTAACAAAGGGTGAATTCCGTCTACTTGTCAGTAACAAAAGGTGAATTCCGTCTACCTGTCAGTAACAAAAGGTGAATTCCGTCTACTTGTCAGTAACAAAAGGTGAATTTCGTCTACTTGTCAGTAACAAAATGTGAATCCCGTCTACCTGTCAGTAACAAAAGGTGAATTCCGTCTACTTGTCAGTAACAAAAGGTGAATTCCGTCTACCTGTCAGTAACAAAAGGTGAATTCCGTCTACTTGTCAGTAACAAAAGGTGAATTCCGTCTACCTGTCAGTAACAAAAGGTGAATTTCGTCTACTTGTCAGTAACAAAAGGTGAATTCCGTCTACCTGTCAGTAACAAAAGTGAATTCCGTCTACTTGTCAGTAACAAAAGGTGAATTCCGTCTACCTGTCAGTAACAAAAGGTGAATTCCGTCTACTTGTCAGTAACAAAAGGTGAACATGATGTGCTTAATATAGATGCTGTGCTGAACACAATCACTTCCGCCTTCCAGAGCTAGATGGGCTGAGATAGGACCAGAACATGTCAACATCCGAGGCTCCAGTTCTCTATCATCTGGAACCTTGGGACAAGCTCGTCATAGTAGCGGCAGCACTGGCAGCTCTGTTTACTATTGGCATCCTCGTGTTCTGTGTCATCAGCCCCCTGTGTTGCCTCTACCACGTGTGTCCCTGTAAAGACAAGGATGAAAAAGGTACGTCTATATGTTCAATAAGATAGCTATTCAGTTGACATGTAAAATGATCAACCGGCAAATGGAGGGAAGCTTAAGAATATCCCAAAGTGTTGCAAACGTAACATTGATATTTCTTTCAGAGAAAAGGGACAAGGAGAAAGTTCCTGCTTATGGCTCAACGACAGGATCGCATTCTCCGTACTATAAACCGGAACAACACAGTCTCTGGCAGCCTCTACAATCATTTAAAGACACAGACACTTCCGATTGGTCAGATTACAGTTCCCATGACGTCATTGAAATGAAACAGGTACCACATGATTTGCATGTTAAATATGTGTTAAAGATCCACTTTTCAGTGATGTCAAAAGTCTGTGACAAGGTCGAATATATCATCTAGTGTAACGTTAGTTTGCATACCGCCACACTCCGCAATGCTGCAGACAAACCACGATGGTCTGCAGATAATAGAGCTTGCAGTACTGCAGACTAACCACGATGGTCTACAGATAATAGAGCCTGCAGTATTGCAAACGTACCACGATGGTCTGTAGAAAAATGAGCCTGCTATTTTGCACCAGACACACCCGCGCTTGACATATTTACCAACGTCGTGAGTATAGTGTAGCCTGACCAGCCGGTCCATTTACTCGACTTTAACGAAACAGTGCTCGGTGTTTTCAAAACTGCCCACCAAAGGTAGTGAACACTGTAAACGTTATTTCGTGACATCATTGTTTCTACATCGGCAAACATCGGTTTCCTAACTTTGATCATATACATTTCAGGATCGTCACAAAGAACATGTCTTCAAACCGATTCGCAGTGAGCCCCAGTCCCCGTCTTCCCCAACTACCTTCCTGCTTGAAAAGGCTTCTCTGGTCTTTGGTCTAATGTATGACAGAGTCGACGGTAAGCTTACAATACGAGTCCAGAAGCTTAGCAACTTCTCAATCACCGATCCTGATGGCACCATGACACCTTACGTCAAAGTCAGGTTATACCGGGCTCCGCGCAGCATCTTTACCTTCAGGGGCAAGGCGAGTAGGGAGCAGGAGATGAACAACCTCGATGTGGAGTTCCAGACGAAGATACTACGCAGGTCTACAGACCCAGCTTTCAACGAGATATTCATTGTGCCAATTGATGCGAATGAGATCCATTACTACACCCTGAAGATGCTAGTGTGCGACTTTGACCGCTACACAAGGCATGTCGTAGTGGGCGAGGTGGTGGTGCCATTGTCACGGGTGGAGTGGACCACGCAGACGGAGGTGGTGTTTGACGAGCAGCTGCAGCCCCCTGTTGGTGTAAGTTTACATACAGTAATGGTGGTGGTGTTTGACGAGCAGCTGCAGAGCACCCTGTTGGTGTAAGTTTACATACAGTAATGGTGGTGGTGTTTGACGAGCAGCTGCAGCCCCCTGTTGGTGTAAGTTTACATACAGTAATGGTGGTGGTGTTTTACATACAGTAATGGTGGTGGTGTTTGACGAGCAGCTGCAGCCCCCTGTTGGTGTAAGTTTACATACAGTAATGGTGGTGGTGTTTGACGAGCAGCTGCAGCCCCCTGTTGGTGTAAGTTTACATACAGTAATGGTGGTGGTGTTTGACGTGCAGCCCCTTTGGTGACGAGCGAGCAGCTGCAGCCCCCTGTTGGTGTAAGTTTACATACAGTAATGGTGGTGGTGTTTGACGAGCAGCTGCAGCCCCTGTTGGTGTAAGTTTACATACAGTAATGGTGGTGGTGTTTGACGAGCAGCTGCAGCCCCTGTTGGTGTAAGTTTACATACAGTAATGGTGGTGGTGTTTGACGAGCAGCTGCAGCCCCCTGTTGGTGTAAGTTTACATACAGTAATGGTGGTGGTGTTTGACGAGCAGCTGCAGCCCCTGTTGGTGTAAGTTTACATACAGTAATGGTGGTGGTGTTTGACGAGCAGCTGCAGCCCCTGTTGGTGTAAGTTTACATACAGTAATGGTGGTGGTGTTTGACGAGCAGCTGCAGCCCCTGTTGGTGTAAGTTTACATACAGTAATGGTGGTGGTGTTTGACGAGCAGCTGCAGCCCCTGTTGGTGTAAGTTTACATACAGTAATGGTGGTGGTGTTTGACGAGCAGCTGCAGCCCCTGTTGGTGTAAGTTTACATACAGTAATGGTGGTGGTGTTTGACGAGCAGCTGCAGCCCCCTGTTGGTGTAAGTTTACATACAGTAATGGTGGTGGTGTTTGACGAGCAGCTGCAGCCCCCTGTTGGTGTAAGTTTACATACAGTAATGGTGGTGGTGTTTGACGAGCAGCTGCAGCCCCCTGTTGGTGTAAGTTTACATACAGTAATGGTGGTGGTGTTTGACGAGCAGCTGCAGCCCCTGTTGGTGTAAGTTTACATACAGTAATGGTGGTGGTGTTTGACGAGCAGATGCAGTGTAAGACCAGATGTTGATATGCGTGTTCCATGCTTGTTGCTGCTTGTTACACACTAGTTAATGCAGTGTAAGACCAGATGTTGATATGCGTGTTCCATGCTTGTTGCTGCTTGTTACATACTAGTTGATGCAGTGTAAGACCAGATGTTGATATGCGTGTTCCATGCTTGTTGGTGTACTTGTTACATACAGTAATTGGTGCAGTGAAAGACCAGATGTTGATATGCGTGTTCCATGCTTGTTACCGCTTGTTACATACCAGTTGATGCAGTGTAAGACCAGATGTTGATATGCGTGTTCCATGCTTGTTACTGCTTGTTACATACTGTTGATGCAGTTTACATACAGTAATGGTGGTGGTGTTTGACGAGCAGTTGATATGCGTGTTCCATGCTTGTTGGTGCTTGTGTTTGACATACTGCAGTGTTAATGCAGTGAAAGACCAGATGTTGATATGCGTGTTCCATGCTTGTTACTGCTTGTTTACATAATAGTTGATGCAGTGTAAGACCAGATGTTGATATGCGTGTTCCATGCTTGTTACTGCTTGTTTCATACTAGTTGATGCAGTGTAAGACCAGATGTTGATATGCGTGTTCCATGCTTGTTACTGTAAGTTACATACTAGTTAATGCAGTGAAAGACCAGATGTTGATATGCGTGTTCCATGCTTGTTACTGCTTGTTACATACTAGTTGATGCAGTGTAAGACCAGATGTTGATATGCGTGTTCCATGCTTGTTACTGCTTGTTACATAATAGTTGATGCAGTGTAAGACCAGATGTTGATATGCATGTTCCATGCTTGTTACCGCTATTTTGTTACATACTAGTTGATGCAGTGTAAGACCAGATGTTGATATGCGTGTTCCATGCTTGTTACTGCTTGTTACATACTAGTTGATGCAGTGTAAGACCAGATGTTGATATGCGTGTTCCATGCTTGTTGCTGCTTGTAACACTAGTTAATGCAGTGTAAGACCAGATGTTGATATGCGTGTTCCATGCTTGTTACTGCTTGTTTCATACTAGTTGATGCAGTGTAAGACCAGATGTTGATATGCGTGTTCCATGCTTGTTACTGCTTGTTACATACTAGTTGATGCAGTGTAAGACCAGATGTTGATATGCGTGTTCCATGCTTGTTACTGCTTGTTACATACTAGTTGATGCAGTGTAAGACCAGATGTTGATATGCGTGTTCCATGCTTGTTACTGCTTGTTACATAATAGTTGATGCAGTGTAAGACCAGATGTTGATATGCGTGTTCCATGCTTGTTGCTGCTTGTAACACTAGTTAATGCACTGTAAGACCAGATGTTGATATGCGTGTTCCATGCTTGTTGCTGCTTGTTTCATACTAGTTGATGCAGTGTAAGACCAGATGTTGATATGCGTGTTCCATGCTTGTTACTACTTGTTACATACTAGTTGATGCAGTGTAAGACCAGATGTTGATATGCGTGTTCCATGCTTGTTGCTACTTGTTTCATACTAGTTGATGCAGTGTAAGACCAGATGTTGATATGCGTGTTCCATGCTTGTTGCTGCTTGTTACATACTAGTTGATGCAGTGTAAGACCAGATGTTGATATGCGTGTTCCATGCTTGTTGCTGCTTGTTTCATACTAGTTGATGCAGTGTAAGACCAGATGTTGATATGCGTGTTCCATGCTTGTTACTGCTTGTTACATAATAGTTGATGCAGTGTAAGACCAGATGTTGATATGCGTGTTCCATGCTTGTTGCTGCTTGTTACATACTAGTTGATGCAGTGTAAGACCAGATGTTGATATGCGTGTTCCATGCTTGTTACTGCTTGTTTCATACTAGTTGATGCAGTGTAAGACCAGATGTTGATATGCGTGTTCCATGCTTGTTACTGCTTGTTACATACTAGTTGATGCAGTGTAAGACCAGATGTTGATATGCGTGTTCCATGCTTGTTGCTGCTTGTTTCATACTAGTTGATGCAGTGTAAGACCAGATGTTGATATGCGTGTTCCATGCTTGTTACTACTTGTTACATACTAGTTGATGCAGTGTAAGACCAGATGTTGATATGCGTGTTCCATGCTTGTTACTGCTTGTTACATACTAGTTGATGCAGTGTAAGACCAGATGTTGATATGCGTGTTCCATGCTTGTTGCTGCTTGTTTCATACTAGTTGATGCAGTGTAAGACCAGATGTTGATATGCGTGTTCCATGCTTGTTACTGCTTGTTACATACTAGTTGATGCAGTGTAAGACCAGATGTTGATATGCGTGTTCCATGCTTGTTGCTGCTTGTTACATACTAGTTGATGCAGTGTAAGACCAGATGTTGATATGCGTGTTCCATGCTTGTTGCTGCTTGTTTCATACTAGTTGATGCAGTGAAAAACCAGATGTTGATATGCGTGTTCCATGCTTGTTACTGCTTGTTACATAATAGTTGGTGCAGTGTAAGACCAGATGTTGATATGCATGTTCCATGCTTGTTACTGCTTGTTACATACCAGTTGATGCAGTGTAAGACCAGATGTTGATATGCGTGTTCCATGCTTGTTACTGCTTGTTACATACCAATTGATGCAGTGTAAGACCAGATGTTGATATGCGTGTTCCATGCTTGTTGTTACTACTTGTTACATACTAGTTGATGCAGTGTAAGACCAGATGTTGATATGCGTGTTCCATGCTTGTTGCTGCTTGTTTCATACTAGTTGATGCAGTGTAAGACCAGATGTTGATATGCGTGTTCCATGCTTGTTACTGCTTGTTACATACTAGTTGATGCAGTGTAAGACCAGATGTTGATATGCGTGTTCCATGCTTGTTACCGCTTGTTTCACATAAGTTAATGCAGTGTAAGACCAGATGTTGATATGCGTGTTCCATGCTTATAACTGCTTGTTACGCATACTAGTTGATGCAGTGTAAGACCAGATGTTGATATGCGTGTTCCATGCTTGTTACTGCTTGTTACATACTAGTTGATGCAGTGTAAGACCAGATGTTGATATGCGTGTTCCATGCTTGTTACTGCTTGTTTCATACTAGTTGATGCAGTGTAAGACCAGATGTTGATATGCGTGTTCCATGCTTGTTACTGCTTGTTACATACTAGTTGATGCAGTGTAAGTCCAGATGTTGGTATGTGTGCTCCATGCTTGTTACTGCTTGTTTCATACTAGGTAATGTAGTGTAAGACCAGATGTTGATATGCGTGTTCCATGCTTGTTACTGCTTGTTTCATATAAGTTAATGCAGTGTAAGACCAGATGTTGATATGCGTGTTCCATGCTTATAACTGCTTGTTACATACTAGTTGATGCAGTGTAAGACCAGATGTTGATATGCGTGTTCCATGCTTGTTACTGCTTGTAACATACTAGTTGATACAGTATAAGACCAGATGTTGATATGCGTGTTCCATGCTTGTTACTGCTTGTTTCATACTAGTTGATGCAGTGTAAGACCAGATGTTGATATGCGTGTTCCATGCTTGTTGCTGCTTGTTTCATACTAGTTGATGCAGTGTAAGACCAGATGTTGATATGCGTGTTCCATGCTTGTTACTGCTTCTTACATTCTAGTTGATGCAGTGTAAGACCAGATGTTGATATGCGTGTTCCATGCTTGTTACTGCTTGTTTCATACTAGTTGATGCAGTGTAAGACCAGATGTTGATATGCGTGTTCCATGCTTGTTACTGCTTGTTTCATACTAGGTAATGTGGTGTAAGACCAGATGTTGATATGCGTGTTCCATACTATACTGAAATCCTTAGAAACGTATCACCCTATTATCATTGATCAAGTTTAAACGCTGTAAATATTGATGCATGTAGGATTTTACTCGTTCACAGTTTAGTACATCCTGTAGTGATCGCATGATATCACGGGGTAGAAAATTAGGAATACCTAAAAGTGAAAGACTGTGTCCATTTTGTACCATCCCAAATGTAGAAACAGAATACCATGTCTGTCCAGTGTATCCATTTTGTACCATCCCAAATGTAGAAACAGAATACCATGTCTGTCCAGTGTGTCCATTTTGTACCATCCCAAATGTAGAAACAGAATACCATGTCTGTCCAGTGTGTCCATTTTGTACCATCCCAAATGTAGAAACAGAGTACCATGTCTGTCCAGTGTGTCCATTTTGTACCATCCCAAATGTAGAAACAGAATACCATGTCTGTCCAGTGTATCCATTTTGTACCATCCCAAATGTAGAAACAGAATACCATGTCTGTCCAGTGTATCCATTTTGTACCATCCCAAATGTAGAAACAGAATACCATGTCTGTCCAGTGTGTCCATTTTGTACCATCCCAAATGTAGAAACAGAATACCAGAATATCATGTTGTACCATCCATTTTAGAAACAGAATATCATGTGTGTCCATTTTGTAGTGACCTTAGAAGAAATTTCCTGCCAAGGTATTACCACAAATTTCCTTCAGAGTGTAAATGTAAACTTTTATTTACCACCAAAAATACTCCCATGCTTAATAATCTTGCCAAGTTTACTTTCTTTGCTCTTAAAATGGGGGACAAGCAATTGTCCATTACATAACCTACATATTTTATATTCACATGTATATTGTACTAGATATACTTGTTGTACTCAAACATTGATACATGGTGGCGCAACATCAACATCTTTGTCAGTACATTAATTGTAAAATGGGCCTTTGGCCTGATTTACCGAAATCAACTACTACTACTAACATTGAACAAGTCTGAAGCCCAACTCTGCTTGAAGTAATCTGACTCTGGCAGATAAACGTGATGCACAACGAGAAGCACTTAACTGTTCACTTTACACAATGCCACGTTTATCAGCTTTTGAGAGAAAATGAGCTGTTTGGTTTCTTGAGACTTGTTTGTCTGCACGTCACGTGGCAAAAGGTTTATTTGTCTCAATTACAAAATTGGTCAGGTTAGCACCGTACCTACGACAAACTGACAGAACACGTGAACGGCCACACCGAGGGCAAGCACGTGTCACGACCCCGGTCCAAGATCAACCTCACTCATTCCAGGACAATTTTCAAGCCAGGGTCCAAAACAACCACGGATAAAGGGGATCATCAGTCCCCAGATGGTACAACAGCGACCACGTACCTCCGAGTACATATTGGTACAACAGCGACCACGTACCTCAGGGATTACCATATTGTTACGGCGGAGGTACAGAGAACAACAGCGACAACGTACCTCAGGGATTACCATATTGGTACGGCGGAGGTACAGAGAACAACAGCGACCACGTACCTCAGGGATTACCGTATTGGTACGGCGGAGGTACAGAGAACAACAGTCGTTGCCACATGGCGGCAAGTCAACGTCTCAGCATTTTGCAACAGAACAATGCACGACCCTATATTGCTAGAACCTTCTACAGGGAGAAGGCCTGTCATGCCGTTGGCGTCTCCACATCTAAATGGGGAAAGACTTTTACTGGAGCTCAGCCTAATAATGTCTATGAGTTGGAATATTGCGTCAGATATGGCAAGCTTTCACGAGGAGTCATCTCATGGATTAGACGAAGATGTGTACCTGTGCCCAACGTAAATAATGACCACACCCGTTACTAACACTGACTGTGTGAATGTCTTGAGTGTGTGTGAAATTTCAATTTGAACCCCGTCAATGTTAGTGTTAATTTATGGTTGCACTCAATGATGAAGTACTGTGTTTCCATGTTGATTCACAGTTTCACTGCCAGGGACAAGTTTGTTTTTATTTATTTATCAGGGTGATAACAAGTTGTTCTCTTCTTTATTTATCAGGGTGATAACAAGTTGTTCTCTTCTTTATTTATCAGGGTGATAACAAGTTGTTCTCTTCTTTATTTATCAGGGTGATAACAAGTTGTTCTCTTCTTTATTTATCAGGGTGATAACAAGTTGTTCTCTTCTTTATTTATCAGGGTGATAACAAGTTGTTCTCTTCTTTATTTATCAGGGTGATAACAAGTTGTTCTCTTCTTTATTTATCAGGGTGATAACAAGTTGTTCTCTTCTTTATTTATCAGGGTGATAACATAACAAGTTGTTCTCTTTATTTATCAGGGGGTGATAACAAGTTGTTCTCTTCTTTATTTATCAGGGTGATAACAAGTTGTTCTCTTTATTATTTATCAGGGTGATAACAAGTTGTTCTCTTCTTTATTTATCAGGGTGATAACAAGTTGTTCTCTTCTTTATTTATCAGGGTGATAACAAGTTGTTCTCTTCTTTATTTATCAGGGTGATAACAAGTTGTTCTCTTCTTTATTTATCAGGGTGATAACAAGTTGTTCTCTTCTTTATTTCAGGGTGATAACAAGTTGTTCTCTTCTTTATCAGGGTGATAACAAGTTGTTCTCTCTTTATTTATCAGGGTGATAACAAGTTGTTCTCTTTAATCAGGGTGATAACAAGTTGTTCTCTTTTTTTATCAGGGTGATAACAAGTTGTTCTCTTCTTTATTTATCAGGGTGATAACAAGTTGTTCTCTTCTTTATTTATCAGGGTGATAACAAGTTGTTCTCTTCTTTATTTATCAGGGTGATAACAAGTTGTTCTCTCTCTTTATTTATCAGGGTGATAACAAGTTGTTCTCTTTATTTATCAGGGTGATAACAAGTTGTTCTCTTTGATTTGTTCTCTTCTTTTTTCAGGGTGATAACAAGTCATTTATCAGGGTGATAACAAGTTGTTCTCTTCTTTATTTATCAGGGTGATAACAAGTTGTTCTCTTCTTTTTTATTTATCAGGGTGATAACAAGTTGTTCTCTTCTTTATTTATCAGGTTGTTCTCTTTATTTATTTATTTATCAGGGTGATAACAAGTTGTTCTCTTCTTTATTTATCAGGGTGATAACAAGTTGTTCTCTTCTTTATTTATCAGGGTGATAACAAGTTGTTCTCTTCTTTATTTATCAGGGTGATAACAAGTTGTTCTCTTCTTTATTTATCAGGGTGATAACAAGTTGTTCTCTTCTTTATTTATCAGGGTGATAACAAGTTGTTCTCTTCTTTATTTATCTGATAACAAGTTTTCTTTTTATCATCAGGGTGATAACAAGTTGTTCTCTTCTTTATTTATCAGGGTGATAACAAGTTGTTCTCTTCTTTATTTATCAGGGTGATAACAAGTTGTTCTCTTCTTTATTTATCAGGGTGTGATAACAAGTTGTTCTCTTCTTTATTTATCAGGGTGATAACAAGTTGTTCTCTTCTTTATTTATCAGGGTGATAACAAGTTGTTCTCTTCTTTATTTATCAGGGTGATAACAAGTTGTTCTCTTCTTTATTTATCAGGGTGATAACAAGTTGTTCTCTTCTTTATTTATCAGGGTGATAACAAGTTGTTCTCTTCTTTATTTATCAGGGTGATAACAAGTTGTTCTCTTCTTTATTTATCAGGGTGATAACAAGTTGTTCTCTTCTTTATTTATCAGGGTGATAACAAGTTGTTCTCTTCTTTATTTATCAGGGTGATAACAAGTTGTTCTCTTCTTTATTTATTTATTGATCAGGTGATAACAAGTTGTTCTCTTCTTTATTTATCAGGGTGATAACAAGTTGTTCTCTTCTTTATTTATCAGGGTGATAACAAGTTGTTCTCTTCTTTATTTATCAGGGTGATAACAAGTTGTTCTCTTCTTTATTTATCAGGGTGATAACAAGTTGTTCTCTTCTTTATTTATCAGGGTGATAACAAGTTGTTCTCTTCTTTATTTATCAGGGTGATAACAAGTTGTTCTCTTCTTTATTTATCAGGGTGATAACAAGTTGTTCTCTTCTTTATTTATCAGGGTGATAACAAGTTGTTCTCTTCTTTATTTATCAGGGTGATCACAAGTTGTGTTCCGGTGATGTGTTTCTAATGGATGTCAGTATAGTTACTGTAATATAAGACTAGATGCATGTGTGGTGTATGTTAAATAGAGTTCTGGCCATGTCCACTGTGTCCTTAACACTGTGTTATGCTTGTAAGCTTATATTTTCGTTACTTGTTAAGCAGTTATCTTCCTAACTATTCTTTCCGTTATGCAGGATATGCAATGCTATAATGTTCCCTCGATTCGTATGAAAAGCAATCATATTATGATATTGCATACTCCCATTATTTTTATGAAAAACGTCATTGACCTGTACTTGAAACTATATAGATATGTTTTTCACAACCGAATTCCAGATCATTCATGGATGATATGTATTTACTTATCTACATGTCATTATCATACATATTGAAATCCCCTTAACGGCTGAATCATCTGAGCTGTTATGTGCATGATAAGGTTTAATTTATGCCCACCTCAGTACAGCTCATGTAGATCACAGCTGTTGCAAGGTGTAAACTGTTACTAAATTTATTATAGATAAATGCTAAATTGGAACATTTCATAAAACTCAGTAAATAAGGAATAGATATTGAATTTAGTGTTGTTACATCCTAACCGTTAGAATCTACATGTACAGTATTAGATGGGACATATGTATCTTAGTACAGTATATATTTAGCGTACTTATGTATATACAGAAGAGGCCTTTTACAACATGTGTTGATGTACATGTTTACATGTAACAGACTCTTATTAACATTTGTTTATCAACAAACCTACAAGCTGTCTACGTTATATTATGGTTTATTTTTGTATTTAATTTTTACATCAGGAAAACCTCGGAGAGGTACAGATTGGGCTGATGTACTTACCCACAGCAGAGAAATTGAGTCTCACCATCATTAAGGCACAGGGGCTGAAGATAATGGACCAGACTAAGGCCTCTACAAGTAGGTTTACATTATACACTACCATACAAAATTATTCTTCCCTCCTCCGTTGTGTTGTGCCAGGCGAGTGTTGTGTACATGAAGACCGACAGACAGACCATGGCGAGTGTTGTGTACATGAAGACCGACAGACAGACCATGGCGAGTGTTGTGTACATGAAGACCGACAGACAGACAGACCATGGCGAGTGTTGTGTACATGAAGACCGACAGACAGACAGACCATGGCGAGTGTTGTGTACGTGAAGACCGACAGACAGACCATGGCGAGTGTTGTGTACATGAAGACCGACAGACAGACCATGGCGAGTGTTGTGTACATGAAGACCGACAGACAGACCATGGCGAGTGTTGTGTACATGAAGACCGACAGACAGACCATGGCGAGTGACCGACAGACAGACCACGTTGTGTACATGAAAACAGACAGACAGACCATGGCGAGTGTTGTGTACATGAAACCCGACAGACAGACAGACCATGGCGAGTGTTGTGTACATGAAGACCGACAGACAGACCATGGCGAGTGTTGTGTACATGAAAACCGACAGACAGACCATGGCGAGTGTTGTGTACATGAAGACCGACAGACAAACAGACCATGGCGAGTGTTGTGTACATGAAACCCGACAGACAGACCATGGCGAGTGTTGTGTACATGAAAACCGACAGACAGACCATGGCGAGTGTTGTGTACATGAAAACCGACAGACAGACCATGGCGAGTGTTGTGTACATGAAACCCGACAGACAGACCATGGCGAGTGTTGTGTACATGAAAACCGACAGACAGACCATGGCGAGTGTTGTGTACATGAAAACCGACAGACAGACCATGGCGAGTGTTGTGTACATGAAGACCGACAGACAGACCATGGCGAGTGTTGTGTACATGAAGACCGACAGACAGACCATGGCGAGTGTTGTGTACATGAAGACCGACAGACAGACAGACCATGGCGAGTGTTGTGTACATGAAACCCGACAGACAGACCATGGCGAGTGTTGTGTACATGAAGACCGACAGACAGACCATGGCGAGTGTTGTGTACATGAAACCGACAGACAGACCATGGCGAGTGTTGTGTACATGAAAACCGACAGACAGACCATGGCGAGTGTTGTGTACATGAAAACCGACAGACAGACCATGGCGAGTGTTGTGTACATGAAAACCGACAGACAGACCATGGCGAGTGTTGTGTACATGAAAACCGACAGACAGACCATGGTTTCCATATAAGCACTGCGGTCCAAAGTACATTTAATGTCAGTGAGTTATAGGACACCGTTTACCATAATAGTTTCTAGGATGTGGGCCCAGAGCTGCACACCCTTGTCCCAATCAAACAATTGTTTTACATCCGAAAATACTGTGACATGCACGTTTCAGGGGACCAAGAAGTATATCCTTTTCAAAAACTACATGCAATAGGCTCTTACAAAAACATTAAACTTGACAATGTGACATATATAGAATCCCAGAAGGACATTGTCGCGTTGTCGCCTTGGTAGAAACAAGTGAAAGGTGCCACATTAACGGATGTGCGACAATATGGCAATGTTACATTTGTCGCATTGAATGATATTATTTATTTTACCAAGGGGGAAGAATATGACATTGTTCAAGGTCAAAATTTGTCACATTGTCGCTTCGTCACCCCGTGTAAAATGTTGAAATAAGGAAATAAAATGCCCGACAACAAGACAAATAGCCACTTTGGCAACAAACAAAAAGTTTCACAAGTACGTTCTAAGTTTTCATAGTATGACATGCATTGAACTGAATGTTCAAATACGACATTGTGAATATGTATGGACTTCTTGGTGCTGTTTTCGAAAATAGGAAAATTAGCATTTTAATTGTATCAGCTACATCTAACACAACAACCAATACTATTCCTCTATCATTTTACACGTTCAAGTATTCGATATTAGTACATCTTTGCTCCCCTGTGCTCAACGACAAAGTCACACTCACATGTGTGTTTGTTCCAGACGCCTTCATGAAAGTGACTTTAATCTTTGATGGCCGTCCCATGAAGAAGACAAAGACGTCGGTACGTCTGAGTGACGTCAGCCCCGTGTTCAACGAGACTATGACGTTTGACGTACCTCACTATCAACTTGACAACGTGTACTTCAGCATCGCCGTCATCCATATTGACAAGGATGCGGAGAAGCCGTCACGGGCTCTCATTGGTCGATTATATTTAGGCATGAACTTTGACTCCGATGCTCGTGCACAGTGGACCGAAATGATTCAGAACTCCAGGAAACAAGTAGCATGCTGGCACAAGCTACAGATTTGATCTTACCTTGACTCGTGTTGTTCAGCAGCTCTATATATACTGATGTATCGGGGGACCTTGACTCGTGTTGTTCAGCAGCTCTATATATACTGATGTATCGGGGGACCTTGACTCGTGTTGTTCAGCAGCTCTATATATACTGATGTATCGGGGGACCTTGACTCGTGTTGTTCAGCAGCTCTATATATACTGATGTATCGGGGTCTGCACCTTTATACTCGTGTTGTTCAGCAGCTCTATATATACTGATGTATCGGGGGACCTTGACTCGTGTTGTTCAGCAGCTCTATATATACTGATGTATCGGGGGACCTTGACTCGTGTTGTTCAGCAGCTCTATATATACTGACGGGGGCTTTTATACAGGGATGGCATTTTATTTATAGTCAGTGATTATTCGATGGGTCGAACTGCTAGTCAGTGTCTTATAGATGGATCAGACGTTAGTCAATGTTATGTTTATTATCATTATTGTTCTTGTTGTTATTGTTGTTGAAGCTGTTATAGCTCCAATAAGCGGTGGGCCACATACAGTCAAGCTGTTATAGCTCCAATAAGCGGTGGGCCACATACAGTCAAGCTGTTATAGCTCCAATAAGCGGTGGGCCACATACAGTCAAGCTGTTATAGCTCCAATAAGCGGTGGGCCACATACAGTCAAGCTGTTATAATGCGGTCCAATAAGCGGTGGGTCACATACAGTCAAGCTGTTATAGCTCCAATAAGCGGTGGGCCACATACAGTCAAGCTGTTATAGCTCCAATAAGCGGTGGGCCACATACAGTCAAGCTGTTATAGCTCCAATAAGCGGTGGGCCACATACAGTCAAGCTGTTATAGCTCCAATAAGCGGTGGGCCACATACAGTCAAGCTGTTATAGCTCCAATAAGCGGTGGGCCACATACAGTCAAGCTGTTATAAGCTCCAATAAGCGGTGGGGTGGGCCACATACAGTCAAGCTGTTATAGCTCCAATAAGCGGTGGGCCACATACAGTCAAGCTGTTATAGCTCCAATAAGCGGTGGGCCACATACAGTCAAGCTGTTATAGCTCCAATAAGCGGTGGGCCACATACAGTCAAGCTGTTATAGCTCAATGGAACATACAGCAAGGTGGGCCCACATACAGTCAAGCTGTTATAGCTCCAATAAGCGGTGGGCCACATACAGTCAAGCTGTTATAGCTCCAATAAGCGGTGGGCCACATACAGTCAAGCTGTTATAGCAAAGCCAATAAGCGGTCCACATACAGTCAAGCTGTTATAGCTCCAATAAGCGGTGGGCCACATACAGTCAAGCTGTTATAGCTCAATAAGCGGTGGGCCACATACAGTCAAGCTGTTATAGCTCTAATAAGCGGTGGGCCACATACAGTCAAGCTGTTATAGCTCCAATAAGCGGTGGGCCACATACAGTCAAGCTGTTATAGCTCCAATAAGCGGTGGGCCACATACAGTCAAGCTGTTATAGCTCAATAAGCGGTGGGCCACATACAGTCAAGCTGTTATAGCTCCAATAAAGGTTGCAGTCAAGCTGTTATAGCTCCAATAAGCGGTGGGCCACATACAGTCAAGCTGTTATAGCTCCAATAAGTAGTGGGCCACATACAGTCAAGTTGTTATAGCTCAATAAGTAGTGGATGTGTGGTTATACAGTCAAATGTGTGTAACCTTTGTTGGCGTATACAGGATCATACGTACATGCGTGATGTGTGTTTGATGTGTACATACGTGATGTGTTTGGCTGTGTACATACAGGCGTGATGTGTGTTTGCGATGTGTGTTTGGCTGTGTATGCGTGATGTGTGTTTGGCTGCGTATACGCGTGATGTGTGTTTGGCTGTGTACATGCGTGATGCTATTAGTGTTTGGCTGTGTACATGCGTGATGTGTGTTTGGCAATGTACATGCGTGATGTGTGTTTGGCTGTGTACATGCGTGATGTGTGTTTGGCTGTGTACATGCGTGATGTGTGTTTCCATGTGCAACATACGTGATGTGTGTTTGGCTGTGTACATGCGTGATGTGTGTTGTATGCGTGATGTGTGTCATTGGCTGTGTACATGCGTGATGTGTGTTTGGCTGTACATACATGCGTGATGTGTGTTTGGCTGTGTACATGCGTGATGTGTGTTTGGCTGTGTACGCGTGATGTGTGTTTGGCTGTGTACATGCGTGATGTGTGTTTGGCTGTGTACATGCGTGATGTGTGTTTGGCTGTGTGTACATGCGTGATGTGTGTTTGGCTGTGTACATGCGTGATGTGTGTTTGTACTACGTGTACGTGAGTGTGTGTGGCCATGCGTGATGTGTGTTTGGCTGTGTACATGCGTGATGTGTGTGTTTGGCTGGCTGTACATGCGTGATGTGTGTTTGGCTGTGTACATGCGTGATGTGTGTTTGGCTGTGTACATGCGTGATGTGTGTTTGGCTGTGTACATGCGTGATGTGTGTTTGGCTGTGTACATGCGTGATGTGTGTTTGGCTGTGTACATGCGTGATGTGTGTTTGGCTGTGTACATGCGTGGTGTGTTTGGCTGTGTACATGCGTGATGGTGTTTGGCTGTGTACATGCGTATGTGTGTGCGTGTACGTGATGTGTGTTTGGCTGTGTACATGCGTGATCTGTGTTTGGCTGTGTACATGTGCGTGATGTGTGTTTGGCTGTGTACATGCGTGTGTTTTGGCTGTGTACATGCGTGATGTGTGTTTGGCTGTGCGTACATGTGATGTGTGTTTGGCTGTGTACATGCGTGATGTGTGTTTGGCTGTGTACATGCTGTGTACATGCGTGATGTGTGTTTGGCTGTGTACATGCGTGTGTGTGTTTACGCTGTGTACATGCGTGATGTGTGTTTGGCTGTGTACATGCGTGATGTGTGTTTATGTTTGCGTGATGTGTGTTTGGCTGTGTACATGCGTGATCTGTGTTTAGCTGTGTACATGCGATGTGTGTTTGGCTGTATGAGTGTTTTTGGGGTGAAAAGTGCAAACGCAATTTTCCCGGAAATCTGATTGAAGCAACTTTGAAAACGATTCCTTGATTCTACTTTTCGAAAATCATATCGATTATCGATAATGTGATTATATATCAAAGATTACACAAAGTAATAAATAAGGTGAGGAACTGGGTAGAAAATGGACACGTTATCGTGGTGGCCAACATGGAGGAGTTGTCGGGCCTCAGTCGCCATTAGCAGCTACTAACCATTGTACACGAGAAAATACCAACTGTCCTTGTCGCCGAAGTGCCACATCATTTTGAGGTAAGGCAGATGTTGTGACACCGAAGTGCCACATCATTTTGAAGTAAGGCAGATGTTGTGACAGGTAGATACAGGAGGAAATACATTCTATAAATCGATGACTTCAACAGGGAACACGTCTTGTATACTGTAACTTGAAGATTTCAAACTGTTTGCAAATACTAGCAGCACTGAAGTGTTGTGACTACAAATGTTTGAATTACCCCAGTGCCTAGCGGAACATTCGTCCTGTGGTTGAGGGAGGCAGGTTATTTTTGCGGTTAATATAATATATTCATTCACTGAAAAATCGCCAAAATATTTCACCAGTTTTGGAAGGAAATATTATTATCGGAAGACACCCCTCACCCCTCACCCCTCCAGCCGCAACCCCTACTACACAATGGCCGACCCCAGATGTATGGTGAGAGCCCCCTGGCCACGTGGTCGGGGATATAATTTAGCTGCTAATCTTGTGACAATGTTGGCTGTGATCATTTGTGCCACGTCTTATGATACTGTTATTATTTATACGTTCATCTATGTGACAATGCTGGCTTGTATATTGGAGTTGTGTGATACGTGATGACGTGAATGTAGCCGGACTGACATACCTCCGGAAGTACCGGGGATACATGGACGTCAAAGTCGTGGACGTTAAATCAATGTCATAAGTATTCTGAGCCTTAAATTGGCTATTTTTCACAATATGATATTGAACACTTGTCCGGGAATGGTTTGATTGTCTTGACAAATTGCATATTCGTTAATGTACGCATTTGTTGTAATGTTGTATTTGGGTTAACATTCAAACTTTACAGAGGTGTATAACCTGTAACCTGACAGCGGTTTAGTTCGGGACACGTATACACAGAATAGTGATACAAATGCCACTTGGATACCGCTTGAATGTGTAGTTTCACAGTTGCATAAATATTGTTCACAAAATCAATACATATATACACGCGTGGAGAAACGGATGAATAGCACCATATCTAGGTCACATTTATGCTTACTTCAAACGCGGAGTAATTTTCTGCTGACATAAGCATTTGTTGCTAATAACTCCGACACCTTCCACTAGTATTACGTTTTGCATATTTTGAAATATGAAACAGTATTATGACGAACGATTTCCTTGTATATTAAAACAATATTTTGATTTTTTGTGAAGTTTCAATAATATTTAATAGATCATTACAATGACAAAACAACATTTACTGATAATGGGGTTTTGCAACATTTTCATCATTCTGACAAGACTCATCCTCAATAATTGCGCAGGTTTTCACTCGTATGTAAATAATTTAAAAATTATTCACTAAATTGGATTTAGCCAAATAATTTCTAACGTTATCCGCAATTTACATGGCTGAAAACAGACTGAGAAACACTATATAACCTTAATACCAGTATCAGCACCTTATTCTTGGAGGTGCAGTTTTAGCAACAATCAGTTATGGATGTACTCTTTCTTCTTTTTTTTCCCGGACAGTTGATGACAATACATACAATGATATATTCCGTTATTCATAGTTCTTATTTCGAGCAGCTAAAATAAGAGAACACCTTAATATCTTCCAACAGACATACTTGTCCAGGTTGAAAACTTCCCTCCACACATATATGTCACAGATATACAAGACAGAGAGATGACATATGTGAATCACAGATCAAAATAAGTAAATCCTTCTTGATCAAATGTAAAGGTTGTTTGAAAACAGTTACACCGAATTCAAATCACAGAGGATAGTGTGTTTCAAAATTATGTTTAAGTCGTTACATCTTGAGTTAAATTTCCTATTTTTTTAAAGACTATATCACAACCATCTAATTATAATTATGATGTAATGTGAAAACAAATATAAATATTTGTCATTTACTTTTTAACCAAATTTTACTGTATATGTACACACGTTTTGAAACCATGAAGGTATTTTACCTGATGTATTGAAGGTATTTCACCTGGTGATGTATTGAATGTTTTTCACCTGGTGATGTATTGAAGGTATTTCACATGGTGATGTATTGAAGGTATTTCACCTGGTGACGTATTGAAGGTATTTCACCTGGTGATGTATTGAAGGTATTTCACCTGGTGATGTATTGAAGGTATTTCACCTGGTGATGTATTGAAGGTATTTCACCTGGTGATGTATTGAAGGTATTTCACATGGTGATGTATTGAAGGTATTTCATATGTTGATGTATTGAAGGTATTTCACATGGTGATGTATTGAAGGTATTTCACCTGGTGATGTATTGAAGATTATATGATCTATGTGTCTGGTATAACCGTCGCTAGTATAGATGAATGGAAGCTGGACTGACGGGTGTTATCACACACAGATTACGGTATCTGTAGTTGAAACACATAGGTCAGTCCTGTCTTCCTTGAGACTAGAGCTGCTTGATGCCACTGAAAGCTTTCTTATATAGAATTGTAAATATGTATATTGTAAAGTGCTTCAAAATACAATGAAACCTCATTAACCTCATTCGAATCTTCCAGATAAAACAATTTTCGAAAAAATGCATGTTAGCCCAGATTCATTTACAATCCTTTAATCCTTCAACTCCAACAAAACTGCGAAATAGCGGAGTGTTGTTTTATTCAGCCGACCAGGAACAAGTACACTGTTAACATCATTTACTTCACCTAAACAGATAAAAATCTCTAATCAAATTCGGACGAATCGTTTCATTTCAGGTGACTCTGTCCTCTTCTGTCCACCCACAGGTTTAGTTAAAGGACCCCTTAAAACGTACCCTGAATACGGAGTGCTCCTGGTACACGGGTTCCGGGTTGTGCAGGTTTCACTGTATCTGCAAAACAAGATGGCTGGGCATAGTGCAATATCCCTGTATGAGATATTATTTGAAAACGTTGATTTGTATGCTATAATACGTGTATCATTGAATATATGAAATAAAATATACGTATATTTTGCAGATTCTTCGGGATTATTTACGCGTGCAGTGAATACCATGGTGTGTGAGAATGTACCACATATACGTATATCCTGTGTGTGACACCATATACAGGGGCCTTGTGTATGACACCGTGTATACAGAGGCCTTGTGTATGACACCGTGTATACAGGGGCCTTGTGTATGACACCGTGTATACAGGGGCCTTGTGTATGACACCGTGTATACAGGGGCCTTGTGTATGACACCGTGTATACAGAGGTCTTGTGTATGACACCGTATACAGAGGCCTTGTGTATGACACCGTGTATACAGGGGTCTTGTGTATGACACCGTGTATACAGTGACCTTGTGCATGACACCGTGTATACAGGGGCCTTGTGTATGACACCGTGTATACAGAGGTCTTGTGTATGACACCGTGTATACAGAGACCTTGTGCATGACACCGTGTATACAGAGGCCACCGTGTGTTGTGACACCGTGTATACAGAGGTCTTGTGTATGACACCGTGTATACAGAGGCCTTGTGTATGACACCGTGTATACAGGGGCCTTGTACATGACACCGTTTATACAGAGGTCTTGTGCATGACACCGTGTATACAGAGGCCTTGTGCATGACACCGTGTATACAGAGGCCTTGTGTATGACACCGTGTATACAGAGGCCTTGTGTATGACACCGTGTATACAGAGGCCTTGTGTATGACACCGTGTATACAGAGGCCTTGTGTATGACACCGTGTATACAGAGGCCTTGTGTATGACACCGTGTATACAGAGGCCTTGTGTATGACACCGTGTATACAGGGGCCTTGTGTATGACACCGTGTATACAGAGGTCTTGTGCATGACACCGTATACAGAGGCCTTGTGTATGACACCGTGGTCATACAGAGGTTTGTGTATGACACCGTGTATACAGAGGGCCTTGTGCATGACACCGTGTATACAGAGGCCTTGTGTATGACACCGTGTATACAGAGGCCTTGTGTACATGACACCGTTTATACAGAGGTCTTGTGCATGACACCGTGTATACAGAGGCCTTGTGACATGACACCGTATACAGAGGCCTTGTGTGTATGACACCGTGTATACAGAGGCCTTGTACATGACACCGTGTATACAGAGGCATGACACCGTGTATACAGAGGCCTTGTGTATGACACCGTGTATACAGAGGTCCTTGTGTATGACACCGTGTATACAGAGGCCTTGTACATGACACCGTTTATACAGAGGTCTTGTGCATGACACCGTGTATACAGAGGCCTTGTGCATGACACCGTGTATACAGAGGCCTTGTGTATGACACCGTGTATACAGAGGCCTTGTGTGTAACACCGTGTATACAGAGGTCTTGTGTGTGACACCGTGTATACATTGTATATGTGTATATTTCAACATATCAGTGATGGACAGGCATTGTATATTTCAACATATCAGTGATGGACGGGCATTGTATATTTCAACATATCAGGGATGGACAGGCATGGTATATTTCAACATATCAGTGATGGACAGGCATTGTATATTTCAACATATCAGGGATGGACAGGCATGGTATATTTCAACATATCAGTGATGGACAGGCATTGTATATTTCAACATATCAGGGATGGACAGGCATGGTATATGTGTATATTTCAACATATCAGTGATGGACAGGCATTGTATATTTTCACATTTCACTGTTATGAGTATTTCATATTCAGCATTATCAGCATAACCTCGGGACAATCGATAGCAGTGCAGGACCCCAGCTGCAGCTAGTGCTATGGCTGTCGGGAAATATGGATTTGCCCGAGCATATCTACACAGTCTGACTCAGTCCCCACAGCTGTTGATTGTGACACCTTGCTGATCAATATATACAGCACTCGTTACGTCGTAAACAGCACAGTCATAAATCATTCTCATTTTAACTTGTAATACGCACAGTCAGAGAAGTTCAAGGTGTATCCTGGCGAATTGGAATTAATCACTTCCTATAAACTAGGAAGATTCACCCTTTCACGATTAGAAAAGCGTCGCTCAGCTAAATCCTATTATATGCAATTTAAAAGACAACATGAACTGTCTACCAGGAACGATATCAACGCAGTTGACAACGATTTTCTCTCTTTCATGTGTTCCGAACATTGCAAAGTGGCCAGTCCAGGCACTAAATACCATTCCAGACGTAAGTGGAGATGATTCTATTGGCCATATTGGTGTCCCGAACTTCAACAGAAAGGAATAAAGTTGTGAGGCAGAAAAACCGTGACTTGCTTGTAAAGCAGTTCGTGGGAAAGTGTTGCGGCAGTGTATGAAATCAGCCAAAAAAAACAGCCAGCACCAGAGGTAGTAACTTTAAAATGTCACCTGCCCAAAATGGATTTAACCAGACCAGACAATGCAAAAGAAAATAAATAAATTTTTAGTTACAGTGAATAATTTAACGAACCTTAACGTTAAGGTACAGTTCTATGCATCGACAGGTGTCGCATTTCAGCGATGTTCAATCGGCTTCGAGTTTGCAGAGCTCCGCGCATCGATAGGTATCGCAGTTTTTGTGATAATATATTATGTCAACGCAGTGCTTTGAGCCACAGGCCCCCACTGCGGGTCAGAAAATCGATAAACTAGGCCCCGGTTTAGTATCAACACCCCCTACTATATAATATAGAAAGGTTCATCACAGAAATACGGTGACATGATCGAAAACCGGACAATTACGCACATGTCAATGAATATCTCGTATTTTAAAGGTCTCACAAGTATCAAAAGCTTTTGTCCATATCTCCGATGTATGTATGGGCTTTCCGTGGGGATGCATTTGATGGTTTTTATTAAATCGCCAAAGACCGAGTTGCTGTGCCGGAAGTATACAAAACTAGCTCGACTTATCTACCTCCGGCGATCTGATTGGCTAACACATTACACTGAATGAATGTGTTTCTTTAAAAAATATTTGTACTCGTTTTTAAAATTATTCTTACCAAGATAAAACATCAGATAGTGAAATCTTGGATGATAGACGTTTGAGTTTCCCTCTCCTTTCGCACGTGCATTTGTTGTCATTTTATTAACCAATTTGATTGCGCTGACGACCTGGTTTTGTACACTTCCGGCACAGCAACTCGGTCTTTGGCGATTTAATAAAAACCATCAAATGCACCCCCACGGAAAGCCCATGTATATGCCTCATACATACATCGGAGATATGGACAAAAGCTTTTGATACTTGTGAGACCTTTAAAATACGAGATATTCATTGACATGTGCGTAATTGTCCGGTTTTCGATCATGTCACCGTATTTGTTTGATGAACCTTTCTATATTATATAGTAGGGGGTGTTGATACTAAACCGGGGCCTAGTTTATCGATTTTCTGACCCGCAGTGGGGGCCTGTGCTTTGAGCTTGCGATACGATAGTTCAGTGTTTCAAACAGTAATTGTCAACTAATGTCAAGTTTAAATGTAACGCTCAATTTGAAAAATAGATTTTAAGATATGGTGAACTAAAAAATCTAAATGTTTTACCAGACTATCGGGCGGGCAAGCTGTAAATTTCGACCGTCCGTCAGAAATCTAGCCCGTCTCGGGCGGTCGGACGTGCCTTATTTCATACACTGGCTACGGATAGTTTATAACAGAAAGAATTTATTTTTTTTATTCTGTAAAATGTTGCGTAAATGCAAACGTAAATGTGAGATGGAAAAACAGCAACGTTTATCGGGCAAAATAATACCAGTTACATTATCATATATATTTTGGAAAACAATTGGTAAACTTGGCAGTAACAACAGGTGTAATTATATTCCATGGGAAAGTGGACATGATGTTACGGTTTGTGTAGACGGATCTGGGATGTTAAATAAATCGAAGCAGGACTTCTATTCACTGTTTGTGGACAGCACTTCAGTCATGTAACGACTTTAGCAGTTAATGTCGGGAAATTATCAGTTAAGGAAAACTGTGTTTATGGTGGGAGAAACATTGAAACGATAACATAGCACTATCTTGGGTTTGTAATTACATGTAGTCTTAGACAGGCGGTCTCAGAACTTAAGGAAATTAGGACCAATACCTATGGAATATTTGACAGCCAAATTCAGCAATTATATTTGTACGGGTCAGTTAATGTCGGGAAATTATCAGTTAAGGAAAACTGTGTTTATGGTGGGAGAAACATTGAAACGATAACATAGCACTATCTTGGTTTTGTAATTACATGTAGTCTTAGACAGGCGGTCTCAGAACTTAAGGAAATTAGGACCAATACCTATGGAATATTTGACAGCCAAATTCGGCAATTATATTTGTACGTGTCAGAAGTTTGGGGGTAGGGATGGGGTTGAAAGATACGATAGCACTAAAAAAAATCACTTACTAGCATGTAAAGTATTTTTTGAATGTCGGTCCACAGATACCAAATGCAATAGTATATGGAGAATGTGGACTGTTTCCAGTTTATATCAATCCCTACGTTCGAACGATGATGTATTGGCTTAAAGGTCACATGCAACGTAAAACACAACTTTGCAGATTCTGATACCTTTCGGTATGGACTTACGTTCATTACTGTTATTGAGCATGAGGCCTTTTGCTTCGGTGTGTCCGCTAAACTAACCTCTTTCATAATCAAGATTATCAACCAACGCAAATAAGTCTATAATGACGCCAACAGAAAACAATTATAACGTGGTCCACAAATCTGCCTCTCAAAGCATGCCCACGTGCCTGTAGGGGGTCACCAGACACCCGTCGTGCCAGACTATACACTGTGTGTTGGTATCAAGGCACGGGTGCTCGAAATATTTCTAAAGTGAGAACAATTTAATAATGTGCTGAATGCCCGAGAAGTCACGGGTGAAGACAATCAACACGATAGGAAGGGCTGCATCATGTCAATAACACTCAAATCACTCAAAAACACGGGTTCCTGTCAGACATTTATCGTTAATCTCTTAATGCCATATTCGTCGATAACAGAACAATATCTGCGATGTGACGGCCACTGGCGATACAGATAAGGCGATCTCAGGAAGTAGTAGAGATTTCACAGGAATACTCAACGAGGGCATACTTCTGTTAGAATGGGGTGAGAATGAAAATATATATTTTTGACTTGATCTTCAGTTTGGAAGTACCCAAGAGTTTCCTGGGTCTGGAATGTACTGGAAGGAATCTTTGGCATTTGATGTCATCTTTGTCAGCGGAAGACCACGAATTAGTGGTGAAGATGATTTCGTTTGGATAATTCTTTCTAAGTTGATGTGATTAACTTTATACCCCAGGAAACCGTGGGTAAAACGCAACGAGGACCAAATGTTGAATTTGGATGTTCATTCTAACTAGGTCTAATTTTGAACGATACATATTTGATCTAGCAGTCGTGGAATGGCCATGGTCGTTTCCCTTTGTGGAATTGTCATAAAAATACAATTAAATCGCTTGCTTCACCGTTCCGCACTTGATTGAATTTTGAAACCTGTTGAAACCTTCATTGAAGCCTGTTGAAACCTTCATTGAAGCCTGTTGAAACCTTCATTGAAGCCTGTTTAAACCTTCATTGAAGCCTGTTTAAACATTGAGGACAAGGGGGGACGAAGGAACATCTATTCATGATGAAGAGGTGTCTGAAGAAAGCAATGACAGCAATAGGTATCGTGAAGGCGGTCACCAGCAGGTGCCTGTTCGCTGCCCATGGGTTTGTGTGCATCTGGAGAGTGGTGGTGATGAAGGGAGACCCTCTCTACTGGTGTCTCACAGGCTCGCTCCCGCTGCTCATTCTGGAAGGAGTTTTTACATTGAAGAAAAAGAAGGGCAGAGAATGGAAATGGTATGACGTTATTTACTTCTCTTTTAATACCACCCTGGTGTGTTAAGTATCCCTCGAGGCTGTTTTGAAGTGTTGTCAATCTGTCTGTCAATCTAATATATAAAATAGATTCTCCTCTCAGTTTCATGAAATATGTTTCTAATCATCATTAATAGTTACATGGATATGTTCATCATTGATTTACCTCTGCGTATTCCAGTTTGATGTTGTTCAGTAGCCTATGAAAGGGTAGGGTCGCGTCGCTTCCCCCATGGATAAAGAGACAACTAAGGTGATACATACGTAATAAATACTGGCAAACAAAACCTCATAAAGAAACATTTATTCGTAACTTGTAAGGTTAGACATAAAGATGACAGGTTTAAGTCTACTGAAGTCATGTACAAAACTTGTCACCAATGCCATGCGCAAGTGCAAATGTGAGAACAAGTTCTGTACTACAGTTCTAGAATCCCTAACACACCACTATACAATCCACAATTTGGTACTCCAATCATGAATATCACAGTCCTACACCCGACTGAGACCCGTGTATGCACTCACTGAACCTGCTTCCTACGCTTACGCACTATAGTCTGTTTGCAGTGAAAACGTCTCGGTGAATTGCACTTTAAACAAAAATGTAAATCGAATACAGTGAAATTAAGATTGCGAATCCTCATAATTCTACCTTGCCAATTGAACATTTAAATCTTAGATTTTTATTCCACTTAGGAAAAAAGTTGTTTAGTAAACGATCATAGTTTCAAATCGGTTATATTGGTTTGTATTACAAGGGAGTAAGCGCAGTAGTTGGAACAGTGAAACAAATGCACGTGCGGTACGTGATGAGCGTCAACTTAAACCAACCCTCCTTGTTCTCGGTGTTTCATTTAATGTGCATACCCCCTTGTAATACAAACCAATAATACCGATTTGAAACTATGATCGTTTGTTAAACAACTTTTATCCTAAGTTGAATAACATTCTGAGATTTAAATTTTCAAATGGCAAGGTAAAATTATGAGGATTCGCAATTTTAATTTCACTTTATTTGATTTACTTTTTTGTTTAAAGTGAAATTCATCGGTACGTTTTCACCGCAAACAGACTATAAGTAAACCTGTCTCACGCGCACGCATAATATCCTGACAATAGCACACCAGGTCTGATGGGACAACAAGCTATGGTTTCCACGACACTATCTTATGGAGTTTGTTTGATGTTGTTCACAGTAGATCTTTGTGTCTCACTCGCGTAAAACTGCACTATCATGTAACAAAATATAGTGTCCAGAGTTTTGATAAAGATCCATAGTGACAAAAAATCTATGGCAACAAGGGTGATTTTAACTTTCCAATTGTCAACTTTCCTTTTACGTCGTGCAGTATTCCAACAGCTCCAGCTTGGGTCTGTACATTTCACGTCTTTTGAGTGAAACCATACAGGCCCGTGTTTTTGAGGTGAACAAGTGACTTCCATTCGTTTAAAACGGGTGCCATTGGGGCGTGTGTGTGCGTACGTGAGCGTGCGTGTGTGTGTGCATCGAGTGAGTGAGTTTAGTTTTACGCAATAGCAGCAATATTCCAGCAACATTACGGCTGGGGACACCAGAAATAGGCTTCACACGTAGTACCTAGGATGCATTCAGCGTTGGGTGACCGCCTGGTATCGTCACTAATGCTTGATAGTGATCCATCAACACGTGCTCTAGATATAGCTGGAATTGTACCGTCAACGTCAGGCGCAGATGTGGGGAGACTTTGGTCGCTTTTATTTTATCATCACGACAGTTTAACCGCTTGCCTCTTTTATTTTTACTAATGTGAAGCAAATATCGTTGTGGGTTGTGTTCTGTTGCATTTGTTAATCTAGTTGACAAGGACGACCTGTGAATACAGCAATGTTCGGGACAAGGCTTGCCTTATGTGTCCAGCTGTGATATCACGTGTTCCCACATATACATATATAAGCTGAAGCCTAGTGGTCAAAGCTTTCGCTATTCACGCCGAAGATCCGATTTCGATTCCACACATGTGTACAATGTGGGAATCCCATTTCTGGTGTTCCCCGCCGTGATGTTTCTGGATTATTGCTAAAAACCGCGCAGAACCCAACTCACTCACTCACTGGGACCCCGGTGATATCAGTATTTGGTAGTGATTTATACACACATGCTCATGATACAGCTGGATTGTATAATCGACTCTGCTGTTAGCAGAGACTACATAAGGGTGCCGTAAGGGTTTTGTTGATTTTAAAAACAATTATCCTAACTTACTAAACGTAATATTATGTTACGTAAATTATAACGTATGATGACGTCGTGGGGAAGTAGACCTAGAGTGTGCTACCCAAGCTTGGTACAGTATTGTATTTCTTGTTATATCTTGCCTGCCGCTCGGCACTAAGGGGATAAAGAAGTACTGGTAGACTAGGAGTAACTGTGTCGAGTACACAAATCTAAACGCAACGCTATACACAATTTCGCCACGTGACATAACCGCGAGTTGATGATTGGCTGTTTTCAGGATATGTCCCAGTGTGCTTCTGTACCTGGCCACAACAGTTCCTGCTATCTGGTTCCTGGAGTTAAACCTCCTGGACAGAAGGATCCTGGCAGTCAGGACGGGGGGCAGGGCATCCGTCAACGCCTCTAGGACGGAGAAAATTACTGTGTGGAACAGCCAGGTAGGACATGAACCGAGACAGAGAGCACTGATCTGTTATAACACGTCATCCTCGACGTTCCGCCACAGATTTCGTTCTCAACTGATAACAAAAGTAGTTTTCGTTGAAAATACAAGTGTTTTATGTTACATTATGTACGATTAATTCCATACATTGTTGCATGAGCTTGTTTATGGCAATGTTCATTGTAACCTCATTAATATAGAGAGTGTATCTTATATCCGTCATTGGCGGATCCAGAGCGGGGTTCAGGGAGTTCGAAACACACACACACACACACACACACACACACACACACACACACACACACACACACACACACACACACACACACACACACACACACACACACACACACACACACACACACACACACACACACACACACACACACACACACACACACACACACATTCTTTAAAATGACTTAAGACTACATTGAAGATTTCTTTTTGCGCTCGCAGAGAAGATTTCTTTGCGCTCGCAGAGGAGTTCAGGGGGTTCGAACGCCCTGAACTCCCTCCTTTCAAAATTCCTGGATCCGCCTATGTCCGTAATGTTAGGGTGTATTTTATCTCCGTAATGTTAGGGTGTATTTTATCTCCGTAATGTTGGGATATGTTTTATTTCCGTAATGTTGGAATGTGCTTTATCTCCGTAATGTGGGGGGTGTATTTTATCTCCGTAATGTTAGGGTGTATTTTATCTCCGTAATGTTAGGTGTATTTTATCTCCGTAATGTTGGGTGTATTTTATCTCCGTTATGTGGGGGTAGTATTTTATCTCCATAATGTTGTGTGTATTTTATCTCCGTTATGTGGGTATGTATTTTATCTCCGTAACATTCGGATGTATTTTATCTCCGTAATGTTGGGGTGTATTTTATCTCCGTAATGTTAGGGTGTATTTTATCTCCATAATGTTGTGTGTATTTTATCTCCGTAATGTATTTTTTATCTCCGTGATGTGGGTATTTTATCTCCGTAATGTTGGTGTGTATTTTATCTCCGTAATGTTGGGTGTATTTTATCTCCGTAATGTTGGGGTGTATTTTATCTCCGTAATGTTGGGGTGTATTTTATCTCCGTAATGTTGGGGTGTATTTTATCTCCGTAATGTTGGGGTGTATTTTATCTCCGTAATGTTGGGTGTATTTTATCTCCGTAATGTTTGTATTTTATCTCCGTAATGTTGGGGTATTTTATCTCCATAATGTTTTGTCTCCGTAATGTTGGGGTGTATTTTATCTCCGTAACATATCTCTCCGTAATGTTGGGTGTATTTTATCTCTGTAATGTTGGGGTGTATTTTATTCTGTAATGTTGGGGTGTATTTTATCTCCGTAATGTTGGAGGATATTTTATCTCCGTAATGTGGGGGGTGTATTTTATCTCTGTAATGTTGGGTGTATTTTATCTCCGTAATGTAGGGGTGTATTTTATCTCCATAATGTTGTGTGTATTTTATGTCCGTGATGTGGGTATGTATTTTATCTCCGTAATGTTAGGTGTATTTTATCTCCGTTATGTGGGTATGTATTTTATCTCCGTAACATTCGGGTGTATTTTATCTCCGTAATGTAGGGGTGTATTTTCTCCATAATGTTGGGGTTTATCTTATCTCCTTAATGTTTGGGGTGTATTTTATCGCCGTAACGTTGGGATGTGTTTTATCTCCGTAATGTTGAGAGTGTATTTTATCTCCTTAATGTTAGGGTGTATTTATCTCCGCAATGTTTGGGGTGTATTTATCTCTGTAATGTTGGGGGTGTATGTTTGCCTGTCTAATCCCTAGGGCGCAGTTTAAACATATTAACGACGTCTTGAGACAGTTATTTGTACCATACTTCACTTATTCGCATTTTTCACTTGTTTACCTTTTTTATGACTTTAGTATCACAGTTATCGTCTAGATGGAGAGATATTTCTGACTACATTTAGGGGTTCCACTGCCTATTCTTCTTTCAGATAAGTATCCCAGTCATATTCGCCCCTGACGACTGGTGCAAGATACTGGAGCAGATGATGCTGCTTGTCCTCATCATTGGACGATGGCTGCTGCCCAAGGGGGAGATAACCCGTGAACAACTCTCCCAGCTCCTGCTGGTGTACATCGGGATGGCTGCAGATATCATCGAGCTGTTTGAAGCCTTTAAGGAGAAGGAAGTCCGTTACAACAAGATCCTTACCATGATCATCCTGTCCATGTGGACTGCCAGTCTCATGCAGTTCACGTTTGTCCTAACTGCCACCAAGTCAAAACGAATGCGCCCTGTCCTGTTTCACTCCGGGAGCTCAGCCTCCACAGTCTCCCTGGGAGGGAAGCCATGCTGCCCCACCGAGGTGATATCTATCATGATCAGTGTCGTGCTTCAGGACGGCCCGTTCCTGGTCGTGAGGATGATGTTGATATTCCGATACAGTGTGTTGAGCTACACTAATCTGTTCTTCACATCCAAGAATACTCTTGTCCTTGTTCTTCAGTTCTACCGCCTGTTGGTCTTATTCTGTCAAAAAAAAGAAAAATCCACACTGATCATAACTAAGGATGGTTTGAATTCCACTGAAACCACTGACGCGACGGCTAAAACGGGATCGGTGAAAATGACAGGGACTCCAAAGCTGTCCAGGAAGATGAGTTTGGATGTAACTCTTGAAAGGCCAGACGGTCTGGCTGAGAGAAGACGATCTTCACTGATGAGGCAAGACTCTGTCACAGATTCCAGCCAGACGCAGGACACAGACGTGATGGACCTAATGACTGAAGAAAGCCATGATAACAATGATGGGGAGGTCGAGGATGAAGAAGCTGACATCTCTTTTGCTGCAGTTCTGAACGAAGAGCCTTCCACAGACAAAGGAAAGTCCAAGAAGAAGAAAAAGAAGAAAGATGACAAGTTAGGAAAAGGAAAGAGTAAACTTACCCTGGACGACAAAGATCATTGGGCGGATGTCAAGAAGATGGCAACAGCACTAGCGTTCCTGAATGAAACTGGGAAATGTCGAACAGTGGTTGTGAATACTGGCGGTAACGAACATAGGCTGCTGATCGTGGATGAAGCGAGTGCCAAGGAAGTGGTTGGTCAGGGACATTGACATTTGCTCTAGAGAGGTGGTTTGGGACCAGATGCATGACAATATCCATCTTCCATTTGCCAAAGAGCAAGAGACAGTGAACGTGTTCATTTTTTGTCATTTTTTGTGTGGATTAACCAAATCATGCCGAAATATGAATTGACTGCAATGAGCCAAGAAACACGGGAATACGCATGCTAAGTATATACGATTCGTAGACTGTGAACATCCTCGATCATACAGTGTTTAATATTTCCAAATGATTGTTATAAACACCCTGAACCCGTTGACTACTATAGCCCCAATAGCACGACATTAAAAAAGAACATTCCCTGAAATCACTGTCACATGAAAGGCATCAGACATTACGGATACGAGGAATGGATTTGGTGACGTCTCTTCAGGTGATGAAGGCTTCTGTTTATAATTAAATACAAAATAATACACTTGAACTTTAAGGATGGTTACTGAATAGAATAAAAAGAACTCCTGTTGACTGAACATGCTATGGATTCATATGTCCGAGGAGGCCTATCTATATTTACATATGGCCAACATTTTGGAAAAGTGGTATTGTCATGCCATGTTTGTTTAGGCTCGACAGTGCTGGAATGTTTAGTTCGAAGTAGTACAGAACAGATTTAATGACAAACAAACTATTTCTGTCGAGAGGACCACAAAAATAATTGTTACTGTAGCTTTATGAGAAATATTTAAGTGAGCCATATTTTCATTCCACAGCAGAGAACTGGAAAATAGAAATAGTACAGTCTCTTATTTGAGTGTTTATCAAGAAAGCAGTTCATATTGCAATGAATATTAGTGTAGGAAAATAAATATTCTGGGTGATGCAGATGAAAACCAGTGATTGATATTATGCCCAACGACCAATGTTATCGGTGTAGGAGGACAAGCAGTCAGTTAAATCAGCTAGCCAGACAACACCATGCATTAATTTACAGGACAAGAAGATGAGTTACGTGAGATGCCCTGGCAAGGCATCCTGAACTGACGGCCCAAATCAACTTTGCCATAATTTCAAATACACTCTAGATTAAAACAAAACAAGGAAACAAATATTGGCGCATGAAGTAAAATGCCAATCAAACAGAAGTAAAATGTACTACATCTCAACGAATTCAACGTATATACTCTTACAAAATGTAGGGGAACTTCATTTTTAATTTACGATTAAAACAATTGGGACATATATCGGAGTCAATCAATGTTAATATGATAAAAAAATGAATGTTTTGAGAGTGCATCACGACTTGCACTTCCTTATGACCATAGTTGTTTGTATAGTAATCGCTCTTTAAAGTTGATTGGTGTATGCCGTGAAATTTGCATTTTCATCTTCAAACAAAAACACTCGGCTAGAAACACATTCTAACAACTGTAAGATGCAAAATGATTGTCCAAAGTAATGGTCTACAGTGATCTATCGACCTCCTTGAAAACTGTCAAACACAATAATGACACCCCATGCACGTGTATGGGGCTACTGCGTTATGCACGTGCATCCCATGCGTTGTGTTTAGGGGTGGTGATATAGATAAATGGCGATGCGTTCATAAGATGTCTGTCTTTGAATGAAAAGTTTGTTAACACTTATACTTCCTCTCCAAATTGAAAGTCCAGGTACAGGTTCAAAAAGGTTCAGGCATTGTACGGGAGCAACCAATAGTTCCAGCAATGTGTCTGTAGATCTATTTTATGGTCTCTGGTCATATCCAGCTCGCGGTGTTCGGGTGTCAGTCGTGGTATTGCAGTGGTGTTTCTATCTGTGCGTCTCACGTGCCGTCCGTACCATGGATATAACCTCAGTGCACGTGTACTGTCGGCTTCCCAAACTGCACGTATTTCTATCACGCTAAGGGGCGGTGGGGTAGCCTAATGGTTAAAGCGTTGGCTCGTCACGCCGAAGACCCGGGTTCGAATCCCCACATGGGCACAATGTGTGAAGCCCATTTCTGGTGTCCCCCGCCGTGATGTGGCTGGAATATTGCTAAAAGCGGCGTAAAACCAAACTCAGTCAGTCAGTCAGTCTATCACGCTAAACGTGTACTAGTATTACTCTCTGCTGTGAGCATAGTGTATGGACAACTAGTATTACTCTCTGCTGTGAGCATACTGTATGGACGACTAGTATTACTCTCTGCTGTGAGCATAGTGTATGGACAACTAGTGTCACTCTCTGCTGTGAGCATACTGTATGGGCGACTAGTATTACTCTCTGCTGTGAGCATAGTGTATGGACGACTAGTATTACTCTCTGCTGTGAGCATAGTGTATGGACGACTAGTATTACTCTCTGCTGTGAGCATAGTGTATGGACGACTAGTGTCACTCTCTGCTGTGAGAGTAGTATGTGGACGACTAGTATTACTCTCTGCTGTGAGCATACTGTATGGACGACTAGTGTCACTCTCTGCTGTGAGCATACTGTATGGACGACTAGTGTCACTCTCTGCTGTGAGCATACTGTATGGACGACTAGTATTACTCTCTGCTGTGAGCATAGTGTATGGACGACTAGTATTACTCTCTGTCGTGAGCATAGTGTATGGACGACTAGTATTACTCTCTGCTGTGAGCATAGTGTATGGACGACTAGTGTCACTCTCTGCTGTGAGCATACTGTATGGACGACTAGTATTACTCTCTGCTGTGAGCATAGTGTATGGACGACTAGTATTACTCTCTGCTGTGAGCATACTGTATGGACGACTAGTATTACTCTCTGCTGTGAGCATACTGTATGGACGACTAGTATTACTCTCTGCTGTGAGCATACTGTATGGACGACTAGTGTCACTCTCTGCTGTGAGCATACTGTATGGACGACTAGTATTACTCTCTGCTGTGAGCATAGTGTATGGACGACTAGTATTACTCTCTGCTGTGAGCATACTGTATGGACGACTAGTGTCACTCTCTGCTGTGAGAGTAGTATGTGGACGACTAGTATTACTCTCTGCTGTGAGCATAGTGTATGGGCGACTAGTATTACTCTCTGCTGTGAGCATAGTGTATGGACGACTAGTATTACTCTCTGCTGTGAGCATAGTGTATGGGCGACTAGTATTACTCTCTGCTGTGAGCATAGTGTATGGACGACTAGTATTACTCTCTGCTGTGAGCATACTGTATGGACGACTAGTGTCACTCTCTGCTGTGAGAGTAGTATGTGGACGACTAGTATTACTCTCTGCTGTGAGCATAGTGTATGGGCGACTAGTATTACTCTCTGCTGTGAGCATAGTGTATGGGCGACTAGTATTACTCTCTGCTGTGAGCATACTGTATGGACGACTAGTGTCACTCTCTGCTGTGAGAGTAGTATGTGGACGACTAGTATTACTCTCTGCTGTGAGCATAGTGTATGGACGACTAGTGTCACTCTCTGCTGTGAGCATACTGTATGGACAACTAGTGTCACTCTCTGCTGTGAGCATACTGTATGGACGACTAGTATTACTCTCTGCTGTGAGCATAGTGTATGGACGACTAGTATTACTCTCTGTCGTGAGCATAGTGTATGGACGACTAGTATTACTCTCTGCTGTGAGCATAGTGTATGGACGACTAGTGTCACTCTCTGCTGTGAGCATACTGTATGGACGACTAGTATTACTCTCTGCTGTGAGCATAGTGTATGGACGACTAGTATTACTCTCTGCTGTGAGCATAGTGTATGGACGACTAGTATTACTCTCTGCTGTGAGCATACTGTATGGACGACTAGTATTACTCTCTGCTGTGAGCATACTGTATGGACGACTAGTGTCACTCTCTGCTGTGAGCATACTGTATGGACGACTAGTATTACTCTGCTGTGAGCATAGTGTATGGACGACTAGTATTACTCTCTGCTGTGAGCATACTGTATGGACGACTAGTGTCACTCTCTGCTGTGAGAGTAGTATGTGGACGACTAGTATTACTCTCTGCTGTGAGCATAGTGTATGGGCGACTAGTATTACTCTCTGCTGTGAGCATAGTGTATGGGCGACTAGTATTACTCTCTGCTGTGTGCATAGTGTATGGGCGACTAGTATTACTCTCTGCTGTGAGCATAGTGTATGGACGACTAGTATTACTCTCTGTCGTGAGAGTAGTATGTGGACGACTAGTATTACTCTCTGCTGTGAGCATAGTGTATGAACGACTAGTATTACTCTCTGCTGTGAGCATACTGTATGGGCGACTAGTATTACTCTCTGCTGTGAGCATACTGTATGGACGACGAATAGTGTCTTTAACATCATCCATGAAATGGCCAAAGAATGAATTTGTTTGGAATAAAAAGAATACTTTTCAAGAAATATGTAAATAATATTTATTTGCATAACAATATATTTACAAAGTAACAGGTTTGAATATCTTCATTTATCAACATTGCACTTGATACAAACTCACCAAGGATTACAAACTATGCCCATGATCCTATACAAACAGGACTATTTTACTTCACTGCCTGCTATACTTAATCATCTGGCTAGGCGAATGTAAAAACCGTTATTCCCAACTATGAGTGAGTGAGTAAGTTAACGCCGATGCTTGGAAGAGGAATCTGTAACGGTCCCGTCATCTCGGCGTTATGTTTGTCTTTAGAACCTGTAACACCCCAGGGAAGAGAGGGTTTTTTATGGATGCCAACTTCTTTATCATGAGGAACACAGGATGATGAACGAGAAACGTTGTGTTCCTCATAAAAAAGAAATTGACATCCATAAAAAAACCATTTCTTTTTAATGTGTATCACTTCTAAATGTAACACCCCACCGGTGGTTCTTGTATATACTCCCCCACCAACCGTGGATACTCTGGGTCGATATACAGTGGGTACGTGGTTCTTGTATATACTCCCCCACCACCCGTGGATACTCTGGGTCGATATACAGTGGGGACGTGGTTCTTGTATATAGTCCCCCACCACCCGTGGATACTCTGGGTCGATATACAGTGGGGACGTGGTTCTTGTATATACTCCCCCACCACCCGTGGATACTCTGGGTCGATATACAGTGGGGGCGTGGTTCTTGTATATACTCCCCCACCACCCGTGGATACTCTGGGTCGATATACAGTGGGGGCGTGGTTCCTGTATATACTCCCCACCACCCGTGGATACTCTGGGTCGATATACAGTGGGGGCGTGGTTCTTGTATATACTCCCCCACCACCCGTGGATACTCTGGGTCGATATGCAGTGGGGACGTGGTTCCTGTATATACTCCCCCACCACCCGTGGATACTCTGGGTCGATATACAGTGGGGACGTGGTTCCTGTATATAGTCCCCCACCACCCGTGGATAATCTGGGTCGATATACAGTGGGGACGTGGTTCCTGTATATACTCCCCCACCACCCGTGGATACTCTGGGTCGATATACAGTGGGGACGTGGTTCCTGTATATAGTCCCCCACCACCCGTGGATAATCTGGGTCGATATACAGTGGGGACGTGGTTCCTGTATATACTCCCCCAACACCTGTGGATACTCTGGGTCGATATACAGTGGGGACGTGGTTATTTGTTTCAGGGATTGTCAATCCACAAGCAGGGCGCAGATGAGCGCTGATTCGTCAGATTACTTGCTGGTAACCTTCTTGGTTAAACCAGGCCATCACTTGATTGGCGCACTTTAAACCAGGCCATCACTTGATTGGTGCACGTTAAACCAGGCCATCACTTGATTGGTGCACGTTAAACCAGGCCATCACTTGATTGGTGCACGTTAAACCAGGCCATCACTTGATTGGTGCACGTTAAACCAGGCCATCACTTGATTGGTGCACGTTAAACCAGGCCATCACTTGATTGGTGCACGTTAAACCAGGCCATCACTTGATTGGTGCACTTTAAACCAGGCCATCGCTTGATTGGTGCACTTTAAACCAGGCCATCGCTTGATTGGTGCACTTTAAACCAGGCCATCACTTGCTTGGTGCACTTTAAACCAGGCCATCACTTGATTGGTGCACTTTAAACCAGGCCATCACTTGATTGGTGCACGCTAAGTCTATAAATCATCAACACGGCTGGCGACTACACCGCATCCTGATTGGCTTAACATACTCACAGCTGATGGACGAAGGTTGGGTGCACCACCAACCGAGTCATGGTTACAGTCTACCAACTTCTAAATGTCAAGGAATTCAGCAGTAGGACTACGGAAGAAAAATCCTCACGGATTTCACAACACGTCGTGTCAATCTGTATGTGAAGCATTTGTGTGCGTCTTACGTGTATCTATGTTGCGTAAAAATAACAGTTGTTAAAATAAGAGTGAGTGAGTGAGCTGGGTACAACACTGACGTGAATAGTAATTCAGTTTTATCCCAGCGTTTCCGCCTCATGCTGAGCCCACATTTGATATGGTGTTCACAAGCCAGCAATTACAATCATACATGGAGGATCCTATCTTCAGGAATTAACAATGCACTTAGATACTTGGTGTACACATTTGATCAGAAACAACTCTGGCACGTTCATGGACGTCACTCCGCACCATGAATTACGACGACGACGTCCATGACGGAATCCCCGCTCATCCACTGAGTGACCGTCACAGCGTGTTATCAGAATTTATTTGCATATAGCATCTAGGAATGACGTCATCATGACGTATCGCGTGTTTTGGAATGCGTTGACGATTCTTTCTCCGATGTTGCTGTAAAACGTTCCTTTGATTCAGTTGACAGTCTTTCAAGGTAGTCCCGTGCGTAGGTTTCATATTTCCGTGAAGGTGATGGAACTGTCGGAGACTTCGGGGGCTGCAGGTTCAAGTTAACTGAAAGTTGAAAAAAACACTTAGATACACATGTATTGCGTTTTGTATTATTAACAACCAGACCTGGATTCAACAGTTCGTATGGCTACATTTCATCTGACGTGCACTTCAACGTGTAGTCGTTGATGGGATAACTGTTACCTTCTAGGGGCGAGACACGTCCGTATACGCGGTAGGCTACTTCCAACACATTCCTCTCTCCAATATCTATTGGAGGTAAAATGCTTTACAGAAGCAAGATCTTGGTTATCTAACCAAATACATTCATTATAACATTCAAAAGCACAACCTTTTAACGCTTTCGGAATGTGTATCATCAGAGACCATATAATATAATCTATGATATGGTCTCTGGTGTCATGTCAGTCAATAATGTCTGATGCTGACCCAATATTGAATTATACCATGTGTTCCCTTGCCTGTGTTCCCTTGCTTGTGTTTCAGACAAACAGTAGACGTTCTTATATGCATGGGTTTGTCATCGATGCCATCGGGAGGGCGAATACTGTGTACCATCACTATTTGCTAATGATACATGTACATTTTAATATCACAGTCAAGGTGGTACAGTAGACACTGTTCGGTGTTTTCAATCTGTTATCATGCAAATGGTATTTTCGTTACATGTACTTACAACAGCGAACGTTTTTTATTCGGGATTCGGTTTTTTTCGCTTGTATTCTATTAACATGTAATCACAGACAGTTGCAAAAAAAGTTCTATCTTTGAAACTTATTTATGTTGTCATTGTATAGTAGGCTCTGTTGAGAATGTTTTATTGGAAGAACACCGTGTTTATCTGGTTTGTACTGGTATCATCACTAACTGATAACACTTCTTGAACACATTTCGTATGTAGTCGGAATGAACAATGGAATCGTAGCAGTCCGTTTATGCTGATGATAAAGGGTTTATCTCTTGTAAAGAATATGGTCATTTCCCATGATGCTGATGTCCTCCAAATGTTTGTAAAGTCGGTTTGAATCCAGTCGGTGATAAGAAAGACACGATAAGAATTACCACAGACCGACACACTGGTGTAAAGACACTGGTGCAAAGACACTGATGTAAAGAAGCTGATGTAAAGACACTGGCGTAAAGACACTGATGTAAAGACACTGGCGTAAAGACACTGATTTCAAGATTCTGGCGTAAAGACACTGGTTTGAAGACACTGATGTAAAGACGCTGATGTAAAGACGCTGATGTAAAGATACTGATGTAAAGACACTGGTGTAAAGATACTGGTATAAAGACACTGATGTAAAGACACTGGTGTAAAGACACTGGTGTAAAGACACTGGTATAAAGACACTGGTGTAAAGACACTGATGTAAAGACACTGGTATAAAGACACTGGTGTAAAGACACTGGTATAAAGACACTGGTGTAAAGACACTGATGTAAAGACACTGGTATAAAGACACTGATGTAAAGACACTGGTGTAAAGACACTGGTGTAAAGACACTGGTATAAAGACACTGGTGTAAAGACACTGATGTAAAGAAACTGATGTGAAGACACTGGTATAAAGACACTGGTATAAAGACACTGATGTAAAGACACTGGTATAAAGACACTGGTGTAAAGACACTGGTATAAAGACACTGGTGTAAAGACACTGATGTAAAGACACTGTTGTAAAGAAATTTATGTACAGACACTCATGTAAAGACACTGTTGTAAAGAAATTTATGTACAGACACTGACGTAAAGACACTGGTATAAAGACACTGGTGTAAAGACACTGATGTAAAGACACTGGTGAAAAGACACTGATGTAAAGGCACTGGTATAAAGACACTGATGTAAAGACACTGGTGTAAAGACACTGATGTAAAGACACTGATGTAAAGACACTGGTATAAAGACACTGATGTAAAGACACTGATGTAAAGGCACTGGTGTAAGTGAGTGAGTGAGTTAGTTGGGTTTTACGTCGCTTTTAACAATATTCCAGCAATATCACGACGGGGGACACCAGAAATGGGCTTCACACATTGTGCCCATGTGGGGAATCGAACCCGGGTCTTCGGCGTGACAAGCCAACGTTTTAACTATTAGGCTACCCCAACGCCCCGACACTGGTGTAAAGACACTGATGTAAAGACACTGATGTAAAGACAATGATGTAAAGACACCGGTGTAAAGACACTGGTATAAAGACACTGATGTAAAGACACTGGTGTAAAGACACTGGTATAAAGACACTGATGTAAAGACAATGGTGTAAAGACAATGATGTAAAGGTACTGGTGTAAAGACACTGGTGTAAAGACACTGGTGTAAAGACACTGATGTAAAGACACTGGTGAAAAGACACTGATGTAAAGGCACTGGTGTAAGTGAGTGAGTGAGTGAGTTGGGTTTTACGTCGCTTTTAACAATATTCCAGCAATATCACGACGGGGGACACCAGAAATGGGCTTCACACATTGTGCCCATGTGGGGAATCGAACCCGGGTCTTCGGCGTGACAAGCCAACGCTTCAACTATTAGGCTACCCCAACGCCCCGACACTGGTGTAAAGACACTGGTGTAAAGACACTGATGTAAAGACAATGGTGTAAAGACACTGGTGTAAAGATACTGGTGTAAAGAAATTTCTGTAAAGACACTGGTGTAAAGAAATTGATGTTAAAACACTGGCGTAAAGACGCTGATGTAAAGACACTGGTGTAAAGACACTGGTGTAAAGACACTGGTGTAAAGACACTGGTGTAAAGACAATGGTGTAAAGACACTGATGTAAAGACAATGGTGTAAAGACACTGGTGTAAAGAAATTGATGTTAAAACACTGGCGTAAAGACGCTGATGTAAAGACACTGGTGTAAAGACACTGATGTAAAGACACTGTTGTAAAGACAGGGTCAGTGTGCCTGTTTGATTCGTCTTAACTTCCATGGCTGTGAAATCTTAGACAAGGGACGCAACTCGCCACAGAGAACCGATCCGCTCAAACGACTGAGACACGACTCCTTATTAAAGTAACGATTTCAATGCAGAAGAAAGGAAGAGGGTTTACCTTTGAACAAGGGCTGTGAATTGTCTGTGGGAAATGTGGGCAGTTGGAAGAATGGAGGAAAAGAAACCGGAAACCTCGGTATCCATGGAAACAATGGTGGTCGTATGGTAGATGGAAGTGATGGCGGAAGGGACTGTAGCGGATGTGAGATGATTTGTGGGTAGGTGTCGCATCTTTGCCTCCAAACATCAATCATTCGAACCATACTCTTCTCCTGCTTCCTCCATTTAGCTCTTCTGTTTTGAAACCAAACCTGAAACATACAGACGCGTTCTTTGTATAAGCCGGACATATACAACACGCATATACAACACACATATACAACACGCATATACAACACGCATATACATGACACATGTACAACACACATATACAACACACATATACAACACGCATATACAACACACATATACAACACGCATATACAACACGCATATACATGACACATATACAACACACATATACAACACGCATATACAACACGCATATACAACACGCATATACATGACACATATACAACACACATATACAACACACATATACAACACGCATATACAACACGCATATACAACACGCATATACATGTACAATACACATATGCATATACAACACGCTTATACAACACACATATACAACACGCATATACAACACGCATATACATGACACATATACAACACACATATACAACACACATATACAACACGCTTATACAACATGCATATACAACACGCATATACATAATGCTTGTACAACAGACATAAACAACACGCTTATACAACACGCTTATACAACACGCATATACAGGATGCATGTACAACATGCATATACACAACGCATGTACAATACACATATACAACACGCATATACAACACGCATATACAACATGCATATACAACACGCATATACATGATGCATGTACAGCACGCATATACACGATACATGTACAACACGCATATACAACACACATATACATAACCCTTATAAAACATGCATATACAACACGCATATACATGATGCATGTACAGCACGCATATACACGATACATGTACAACGCGCATATACAACACTAATATACATAACCCTTATAAAACATGCATGTACAACACGTATATACAGGATGCATATAGAACATGCAAATACATGATGCATATACAACATGCATATACATGATGCATGTACAACACACACATACAACATGCATACACAACGCGCATATACAACACACATATACATAACCCTTATAAAACATGCATGTACAACACGTATATACAGGATGCATATAGAACATGCAAATACATGATGCATATACAACATGCATATACATGATGCATGTACAACACACACATACAACATGCATACACAACGCGCATATACAACACACATATACATAACCCTTATAAAACATGCATGTACAACACGTATATACAGGATGCATATAGAACATGCAAATACATGATGCATATAGAACATGCAAATACATGATGCATATACAATATGCATATACATGATGCATACACAACACGCATGTACAACACGCATATACAGGACGCATGTACAACACCCATATACAACATGCATATACAACATGCATATACACGATGCATGTACAACAGGCATATACAACAACTATGTGCGAGAAGCCTTTAAGAAATGAGTGAGTGAATTGGGTTTTACGCCTCCGTTAGCACTATTCCAGCAATATCACCAGAAATGGCCTTCACACATTGTACCCATGTGGGGAATCGAACCCGGGTCTTCGACGTGCCAAGCCAGCGCTTTAACCACTAGGCTACCCCACAGTCCCTGTAAGAAAGGCATACACTCGAAGCATATACCAGAAATATGTGTAAGGAGCAGATACAAGAAATATGTGTAAGAAGCAGATACCAGAAATATGTGTAAGGAGCAGATACAAGAAATATGTGTAAGGAGCAGATACAAGAAATATGTGTAAGGAGCATATACCAGAAATATGTGTAAGGAGCAGATACCAGAAATATGTGTAAGGAGCAGATACAAGAAATATGTGTAAGGAGCAGATACAAGAAATATGTGTAAGAAGCAGATACAAGAAATATGTGTAAGGAGCAGATACAAGAAATATGTGTAAGGAGCAGATACAAAGAAATATGTGTAAGGAGTAGATACAAAAAATATGTGTAAAAAATAGATACAAATCTAAAGAAATATGTGTAAGGAGACAGATACAAGAAATATGTGTAAGGAGCAAATACAAAGAAATATGTGTAAGGAACAGATACAAAGAAATATGTGTAAAGGAGCATATACAAAGAAATATGTGTAAGGTGTAGATACAAGAGAAATATGTGTAAGGGCAGATATAAGAAATATGTGTAAGGAGCAGATACAAGGAAATATGTGTAAGGAGCAGATACAAGAAATATGTGTAAGGAGCAGATACAAGAAATATGTGTAATGAGCAGATACAAGAAATATGTGTAAGGAGCATATACCAGAAATATGTGTAAGGAGCAGATACCAGAAATATGTGTAAGGAGCAGATACAAGAAATGTGTGTAAGGAGCAGATACAAGAAATATGTGTAAGAAGCAGATACAAAGAAATATGTGTAAGGAGCAGATACAAAGAAATATGTGTAAGGAGCAGATACAAAGAATATGTGTAAGGAGCAGATACAAGAAATATGTGTAATGAGCAGATACAAGAAATATGTGTAAGGAGCATATACCAGAAATATGTGTAATGAGCAGATACCAGAAATATGTGTAAGGAGCAGATACAAGAAATATGTGTAAGAAGCAGATACAAGAAATATGTGTAAGAAGCAGATACAAGAAATATGTGTAAGGAGCAGATACAAGAAATATGTGTAAGGAGCAGATACAAGAAATATGTGTAATGAGCAGATACAAGAAATATGTGTAAGGAGCAGATACAAGAAATATGTGTAAGGAGCAGATACAAGAAATATGTGTAATGAGCAGATACAAGAAATATGTGTAATGAGCATATACCAGAAATATGTGTAGAGCAGATACCAGGAAATATGTGTAAGGAGCAGATACAAAAGAAATATGTGTAAGGGATACAGCAGAAATATGTGTAAGGAGCAGATACAAAGGAAATATGTGTAAGGAGCAGATACAAGAGAAATATGTGTAAGGAGCAGATACAAAGAGATAATATGTGTAAGAGCAGATACAAAGAAATATGTGTAATGAAGCATATACAAGAAAAATATGTGTAAAGAGACAAATGCAAAAATATGTGTAAGGAGCAGATACAAAGAAATATGTGTAAGGAGCAGATACAAAGAAATATGTGTATGACAGATACAAAGAAATATGTGTAAAAGGAGCAGATACAAGAAATATGTGTAAGGAGCAGATATAAGAAATATGTGTAAGGAGCAGATACAAAAGAAATATGTGTAAGGAGCAGATACAAGAAATATGTGTAAAGGTGTAGATACAAAGAAATATGTGTAGGGAGCAGATACAAGAAATATGTGTAGGGCATATACAAAGAACATATGTGTAAGAGACAGATACAAGAAATATGTGTAGGGAGCAGATACAAGAAATATGTGTAAGGAGCAGATACAAGAAATATGTGTAAGGGTAGATACAAGAAATATATGTGATAAGGAGCAGAAGCAAATACAAAGAAATATGTGTAAGAAGCAAATACAAAGAAATATGTGTAAAAGAAGCATATACAAGAAATATGTGTAAGGAGCAGATACAAAGGAAATATGTGTAAAAGAAGCAATATGAAATACAAGAAATATGTGTCAGAAGCATATATAGAAATATGTGTAAGGAGCAGATACAAGAAATATGTGTAAGGAGCATATACCAGAAATATGTGTAAGGAGCAGATACAAGAAATATGTGTAAGAAGTAGATACAAGAAATATGTGTAAGGTGTAGATACAAGAAATATGTGTAAGAAGCATATACCAGAAATATGTGTAAGGTGTAGATACAAGAAATATGTGTAAGAAGCAGATACCAGAAATATGTGTAAGGTGTAGATACAAGAAATATGTGTAAGAAGCATATACAAGAAATATGTGTAAGGTGTAGATACAAGAAATATGTGTAAGAAGCATATACCAAGAAATATGTGTAAAGGTGTAGATACAAGAAATATGTGTAAGAAGCATATACCAGAAATATGTGTAAGGAGCAGATACAAGAAATATGTGTAAGAAGCAGATACAAGAAATATGTGTAAGGAGCAGATACAAGAAATGTGTGTAAGGAGCAGATACAAGAAATATGTGTAAGAAGCATATACCAGAAATATGTGTAAGGAGCATATACAAGAAATATGTGTAAGGAGTAGATACAAGAAATATGTGTAAGGAGCAGATACAAGAAATATGTGTAAGGAGCATATACCAGAAATATGTGTAAGGAGCATATACCAGAAATATGTGTAAGGAGTAGATACAAGAAATATGTGTAAGGAGCAGATACAAGAAATGTGTGTAAGGAGCAGATACAAGAAATATGTGTCAGAAGCAGATACAAGAAATATGTGTAAGGAGCAGATACAAGAAATATGTGTAAGATGCTTTATGAAAGGCATACAAACAAAAGATACAGAAGAAAAAAAAATGTGAAACATATTTAAAGGAAGCCATCAAATGCAAGTTTTAAGTGCCGCAACAGCCCTTGGCCCCGTTCCTCAAAGCGATCGTAGCGCTACGATAGTCGTAATTCTATGTTAAAGTATGGGAGTTACGATCATCTTAGCGCTACGATCGCTTTGAGGAACGGGGCCCAGGTGAACGATATGCTATAACACCACTGTGTGTTTTGAGCGTCACGTTGGTTCTCCATCGTAACCCCTTGGCGTTCTCAGGTGTTCCCTAACGTCATGCGTGTGTTGTTCGCTAAAAGAACTGCAATTTGTAACGTCTCTAGTTTATACTTCAGGTCGGTGGGAACCCTGAGGTGGCTTCCTATAAACCAGTACTAGAAACGTTTGTCATACATTTACAACCAATCTGAGAGGCAGATAACCGTAACTAGTCGAATCTCGGATCTAGCAATCGTCAGAGTCTGGTACGCCTAAGGAGCACACAACTACAGCATAAACGACTACAGCATAAACGACTACAGCATAAACGACTACAGCATAAACGACTACACAATCCGTGCCTTCCATAAAACAGCATTCAACGTTGGTTGTTCCATTGTAAGACTGAATATTCCTGTCAATGAAACCCTAATTATTCAGGTTTACGTGTGGCTACAGCTT